TTACTGCAGACACCTCTTGTTGAGTGATGGCAACTGGATTTCTTTCTTATTAGGTTGAAATGTTTCACTACTCACCCAAGTAGCTTCTTCAGCCTGAGAAGAGCTGGTATGAGACCCCCTGATAAATCCTCCACATTGGTTCTAATTCCCCTTGGTTTGAGTAGGCTTGCTAGATGGACAAAGGTCTGGGGGTGAGTGAAAATCCCACTTTTGCAGTCCTTCCCCACCCATTGTTATGGGTCATTAACAGTAGTTAACAGTGGTCTTTCTAGAGGGTGTGGTCCTGATCTTTCTGGGGACTGATGAAAGGGCATCATGATAAATAGGAGACAGATTGTATCTAAGGCCTCCAGCCCTGCTGAGTGAAGGATTTTCTATATGCACATGTATGGCCTCTCTGACCCCTCTCTCAAACCACCTATCTTCTCATCACTCATTTGATGACCAAAATGTACTCGTTTTGGACTGAGAAGGCATCAATTCACCAAACATAAAGATCTAAGGCTAAGAAAGCATATAGTAGAATGATTTGCTTTACCAAATTTTCATTAAAAATTACCTGTACTAAGGAAGATATGAGAGAAAATAACCATGAGATTGTAACACATTTAATATAACATTCTATTTCCAACTTTTCTAAGCAAGATCTTGCAAAGACAGAAAATGAAAACATCTCAAATCAGTTATTGTTTATAACAGTTTTATTCAAGTTTGTGTGCTCTGATCTTGAGACAAGGCCTAGAATAGCATTACACTGTAATACAATAGTAATTTTAGCCATTGAACCAAGCCTGCTTGGCATCCTTGGTTTACCCCCACCCCACCCCACCCCACCCCATTACAGCCAGGAAAACAAGCAGAGAAAAAGCCAAAAAAGATCTCCTGTTGACTTCAGTTAGCTCTGTCTTAAATAATGATGTCTAACTTTAAATAAATTAAAAATCTATCAAAGAGGTACACATAACACACTGACAAAGAACAGAGATATAGCAGGTTATATAAAATCATAACCTGTGTTAACTACAGTGAAAAACCCGTCATTGATGTCATTTAATAATTATCATTAAGCCTAATGGGGTTATAGAGGCAAAAGGTTGTTGACAAAGCTTTCCTGGAAAAACTCAGTCTTACACTCTGAACCCCCAATTTACTGGGGAGCAGAAATTTTAAAAGGCAGGTTTCTATATCCACTTCACCATCACCAACACGAAACAAATAACACGAATTATTCCATCGACAAAATCCATAAAATGGATTTGGGGCAAAAAAAAATAACCTTTCTGTTCTACTGCCTTGTAACATTATTTTTGTTGTAATTGGGGCTGAAGCCCAAAAGAGTTTCAACATGACAGACTCAATCAGCAAATACCAAGATCAAACTTACTCTGTAAGAAGCCATACAAAACATTTGTGGTGCTGCACCTAAATAAACAATCAGAAATGAAAGAATCTTACACCAGAGCATGCAAGGAACTAACCTGTGAGATACACTGTGTGGAATTATTCTGCATGAATACTATATTTCAATAATAAAAATCAGACCCAATAAGAAATGTGGGAAGAAAGAAGATCCAGAAGAATCAAACTATGGAAGTACGAACTAGGTTTTGCTCCTACTATTACTGTAAGTATTGGCAAATCTCAGCTCAAGCCAAAAAGCCTCAACTGTAACATGATGGACACAGCAAGGTCTAAATATTACTTTCCTGTAATCAGGATTCAAGTGGTGACCTATACAGTCACACTTGTGGTATTCTAACCTGTTCATACCCAACCTACAGTGCCTTCCACTAGGAACCTGGCATTCCTGCCCCCTCCTTTCGAGAAGAGTTTCTCTTCTGATCATAATTTGAGATAAGCACTTGTGGAAGTGACAAAGCTCCCTCTTAAAAAACACAACAGAAAAGGTGAACAGCTTTTGCATTTCCATAGTTGACTATTCAAAGAACATCAGTATGTGACCTCTATTCTAAAAAGCAATTAAAAGACAATATCAAAGCTGTTTCTGGGAACGACATACAAAAACAGGAGAGGAAGGAACCTACACAAATTAAACCACAGATATCCAACATATCCAGCTTCTACTACAGAAGAAAAATACTACATGAAACAACATAGTGGATAAACACAGTTTAGATGCCAAAGAATTGACAAATGAATGAGGCAAAATAGTGTATTTTGGAAAACTTTTCAACAATTTTCATCCTATGCATTTCTATATATCATGCAAATATGCTTAAACCAAACATATGCCAAACATTACTGGATACCCTTTGGAACATGTACTAATTTAAATGAACCAATATCTAAACAGAGAAGTACAATTCTTCTCCCTTCACCAGGGGCAAAAAAGTTATTATTTTTCTTAGTTGTGAAAAAAAGCTATGAAAATGCCCTAGGACTTTTATGCAGTAGAGAAAGTAAACACTCTCTTGTGGCAAAACAAACTTTAACTGTGCTCTTGTCCTAACAAGAAGATATAAAAATAAAAATGAAAACTGTCATTCTCTGCAATTTCTTTAGCTGCATTACTCAGAGTGCAGGGCAAATTAAGAGAGTTGAACCATAATTGTACCCATAAGAATTAGTTATATTGGGTAAAATTAGGGTTATACCTAAATATTCAGCAGCTTTCTGTGGCTGAGACCTCGCCACAGCATTTCAATAATCAGGACCAGAAGCATGAATGCTTCAATTAAAAAAGCAATCAGGCAAGACTCTCTACCGTGTTTCCCCGAAAATACAACGGGGTCTTATATTAAATTTTGCTCAAAAAAACACATTAGGACTTCTTTTGAGGGGATTTTTTTTTCATGTACAACAATCTACATTTATTCAAATACATTCATGTCACCTTCTTCTGGTTGCTGCACAATGGGTCCCTGGTGGAGGGCAGGGTTTGACTTAAGTGGGACATATTTTGGGGGGTAGGGCTTATATTATGAGCCTCCTAAAAATCATACTAGGTCTTATTTTCAGGGGAAAGGGTAGCAAAGGAAAGTTATTAGCTATACCAGGTTTATGTTATAATGTTATGCGCTATCAAGTCAGAATTGAATTACAATGACCCTAATAGGGCTTTCACAGTAATGGAGATATTAGGAGATCTACCTCCCAATTTAGGGAATGTGGAGGCACTGCGGGTTAAACCGCAGAAGCCTCTGTGCTGCAAGGTCAGAAGACCAGCAGTCATAAGATCGAAACCATGTGACAGAGTGAGCTCCCAGTGCTTGTCCCAGCTCCTGCCAACATAGCAGTTTGAAAGTATGTAAAAATGCAAATAAATAGGTACCACCTCGGTGGGAAGGTAACAGTGTTCCGTTTCTAGTCATGCTGACCATGTGACCACGGAAACTGTCTTCAGACAAATGCTGGCTCTATGGCTTGGAAACAGGGATGAGCACCGTGCCCTAGAGTTAGACACGACTGGACTAAATGTCAAGGGAACCTTTACCTTACGTCCCAATGAGTTTCCTTTGATTATCAGGAATGTGGATCCAGGTCTACTGTGCTCTAGTCCACCCCTCCATCCACTACTCCATGCTAGGTACTCACACAATAATAACAGATTTAACAAATATTTATCTTAGACACACACATGCTTGTAAGTACAATATAGAAGTGTAAACCATATTAAATAACTAGACTTGACCTTATGTTGGAGGGGACCATTAGGCCAACATTTATACGTACATGTTTAAGAAACCATGGTTTAACTGGGTTCATCTGTCTGGGCTTACAAACATAAAGTAATCTTGAAGTAGTATGAGTTTTATCAAATCTAAAACTTTTTCTACATAAAGGAATTCTTTTTCTGTGTAGAGGAGTGGCCTCTGCCTCACCTGTGGAAGACTGTGAAGAGTCTTAATCACCCAAAAGAGAGGCAGAAATAGCATACAAGCCCAGGTGCAGCCAAAAGTGAAAGTACAGACAGTAGCTACCTAGAACACAAGGATGGTAGGGAAGAACAGTGGGTTCAAATGGCAAGATACAGAAAAAGCTACTTTCTCCAGTAGGAAAATAAGAAAAGCACCATTACCATTCCAAGGCCCTGAGTTTCATAACAGCCACTTAGGGTTGTAATCCATCAGGTTTGCCACTTTTTGAAAAATATAGCAAAGCTCTGAATGGTAGCAAATGCAATACAGGAACAGATGTCTAGATTGGAAGCAAGCAAAAATACATTCTGAGAGAAGACTGAGGGGGTTGGAAAAAAAACTACTAGAATTTTTCCAGATCTGGGTCCGTATTGCACAATTCTTTGTCTTAATATGGCAGTATTTTAGAAACAAAAGGAAAAGATTAATTCCACAAGTAACAGAACAAGCCTACTGATTTTGTTTGTCTTCAGCCAGTAAAAATTGGGCTCATCAAATATCTTACTCACAGATAAAATGAAGGTTCCTGTCTTAGCTTATTATTGTGGAGAAGTAATTTTAGATAGCAAAACTTTGCAGATTTAATCAAGAACATTTTCACAGAAAAGGGTAGGAGACTGCCAGTTTTTCACACACAATACTGCTGAATTTTTGCAAGGGGTTACACATTCCAGATAACATTACATAAGTGTACCAATTTGTTTCAGTCCTTTCAGATTGTGTGTTATTCAACAGGTACACATTTTTTCATGATCAGTCTGGACCAAATTTTCACATCACTCCCCTTGTCCTTCAGCATTAGAACTCTTCCACCAGTGCATTTAAATCATTGCACCTGGACATCTATTTGTTTAACAACAATAGTAAACATTTACACAATGGCTGGGACTGAAAACGATGCAAGTCTTAAAAACTCTTTCTTGCCTTTTTTTCAGCTCAGTATATTAAGTACATTGGGGCAGGTGATACGGGTGGCATTGGCAGGTTCCATCTTCATCAAGAACCACGCTCTGCTCCCAGCATTTGATTCTGAAAGGAAGAATTGTGTGCATACTCAAAATGAGCAAAGATGTGTTCTGGAGCAGCCATGGCGAAAATAAAAATGAAACATGACAAGTGTGCTGGTGCAGACACACCCCAGCAATAATTTATTCCTGTACCATATGTTTGTAAACAAATTATCCGCCATTGCATTTAAAATACTGAAGCTGAGGTTATCACGAAACCTTTTATCTATACAGGGTATCTTGAGTTCTTGTAGGTCAAGAAGAGAGGCTTAGATACACCACTTTTCTTGCTTCAGTTTAACACTGTAATGAACAGACAGAGAAGACAACAGGAAAACCCACCATAAGGGTCAGCAGCTCCATGTAGCTTAGCTACATGCAGCTACAAATAATCAGGTAACCCAGTACTGTATCAGTAACTGACACAGCACTGCAACATGATCTCAGCAGCATCCCTCTACTTCATCTGTCTTCAAAGTGCATTCTTAGTGCAAGAAATAGAACTGAATCTAAAGGAGCTTATTAATCCTTTTTGAATTTCATGCTAGGACCAAAACTCTGATCTGAGTTCATATGTTGCAGGTTTGTGTGTTCTGAATCCAGTTCTGCATAGAGGCACAGTGCTATCTTGGCTCTGACCTTCAACATCCATGTCCAACAGTGTCCGGTCCTCTTCAGGAAGTCTGACATGGAAAGAAAGTAGTCCAGGCCTCTCTTCAACAGTGCTGCTACTGCTGATAAAGCAGGAGTCCTGGTTATTGGGAGTTTCAGTACTTGAGCTATTAGCAGAGGATTCACCCCTGGCATTACTGGGGGATACAAACCACCAGGGGTCAGCCCGTTGCCTACTAGCTGAAGGGCGTGGCCTAGGTAGGAATTCCAAGGTCTTGGGTCTCTCCAGCATAGAGTCTTGTTGAGCATTATAACGCCTGGGGGTTGGAGGAAAGATGAGGTTGGGGTCTGGCAGTCGAGGGACTTCATTTGCACCCTTACTTGGACTGGGGGTTTTTAATACTCCTATGCCCCCACCAGAAAAAGAGACATAAACGAAAGAAAGGAGGGTGGGGAGGGAGAGAAGAAAGAGAAACCAACCAGTTAAACAACACTGATGAAATGAGACGCTGGGCTCATTTAGTAAAGAAAGGCTGACATCAGACAGAGGGTTGATTCTGTTCATCTTATGCATGCAGACCACACAGGATCTACACTGAACTTCATGCTGATCCCTGCATGCTCATATGTAGATATAGGTAGTACTAGGGCCAGCATGTAATCTGATGTAATCAGAACATGAGAATGTCCCAAACATGTCATGCAAATAAACACACATCTTTGTACCTCCCTTTATTTTTTAATCTTACTTTTCTTATTGGTGGCCTAGTGATGAACAGTACAAACAGCAACTTACAGAGGGTAGCAGAATAAAAAGATTGTATGGGTATATTAACAAAATACAGGTTTCCAAGGATATTTTCATATATGATAGAACCTGAATCTTATTCACCAAATTTAGTATGAAACAGGGGTTGAAATCTTGTTGCTTAGTGTAGTAAGGTGCACTAGAGAAAAACCACTGAATCAGTAAGTTGTTGTAGGCTGCACTAGAGAAGGCTCACTGAATCATTTGGTGAGTCAACTCCTCTGCAAGTGCCATATTCAAATAGACCTATTCTAGTCATGAATTACTTTAGCATAGTAAGTAATAACTACAGTAGGAGCTTATGGAGGAGTTGATTCACCCAATCCCCACTGATTCAATGGGTTTACTCTAGTGCAATTTACTATGCTAAGCAACAGGATTTCAGCTAGTATGGTATTTTATCAAGATTCTAAATATTTCACTGGTTTTCAACTGGCTAGATTTTAAGTCTGCAAAGCCTTCCACAAAGTTTACACAACCAGAAACACTAAAAATTGCACGGCTTGTTTTTACTGTCTCTGTTCCACAAGTAGGCATGGACTGAGGACTTGGGGACCAAAGTGAAATCCCTGGTGCCCTCCCTACTGGCAACACTGTAAATGGCTAACAGGATCACTTTTAAAAAAATCAAACTTGAAGTGTAATGATGGGCACATCCAGTCTGTTTGTGGGATGGAGTGTTGAAGTTTTGGAAGGCCCAAGAGGAGGATATCACTGCTACATTTTTTTTTCTTTTGATAAAACAAGTATTTGAGGCCAAATAAATCCTATGTGTGTTGTGAATCTGGGGTCTTTTGAGGTGACCCTGGGGAGTAAGGAAGTGCTCCTGGGCCACATGCAACTCACAGACCTTACTTTACTTATTCCTGCTCTTGATTCTGAACATATATTTGAGGGTTGCTTGGTGGAGATTTTAAAAATAAGGAAGTGAAGCATCTCAGAAACTCCAAATTTAGACAGAATCTTTCAATTTGAGGAGGACACCCACAAGATGAAGAGAAAGTGTCCAGATATAATTAGTACAAAATGTCTGATTTAATTATGGATCTCTCATATTTATGGTTGTATATTTAATAATTTTCTAGTATGCTTTTTAATACATTAAAGTATTTTGAACTAAAAAATAATAACATATCTATTTTAATACAGAGCAGAATAGAAACAGATAGCATCTGGAAAATTCTTCTGAGATTACAGAGGGTTGTGTACACTGTACCCTCAGCAGCTGCATCATTACAGATTCCTGGCACCCCATCTGTATAATTGTTATAGTAGAAATTGAGCAGAACTGGAAGAAGAGGTTAAGGCAAGGGATGTGGTAGGTATGGCGTAATCAACTGATTATTTTAACAGGGTAGCTTCTTTTAAATAGTAAACAGAATGATTCCCTTAAAGGGAATCCCTTTCTCATCAGACAGGTGACTGGCTTTTTGAGAGGGGCTTCTTAATGGATTTTTGTGCCTTGTTGCTTTTAAATGTGCTTTTAATATTACTTTTACTCACCATTTTTAATTTAATTCTTTTATATATTTGTATACTTACTTTTTTAGCTTTTAATTGTATTGTCTTTTAATGATATAAGTCACCTTGTGTCCTCTTTTTTAGGAGAAAAGTTGGGTAAAATATTTTAAATAACTAATAAAATAATCATTATTTTAAATAAATGATAAAGAAACCAGCTGCTAACTAAAAGAATTGTAACACAGATGTAAACAAGTATGTTTTGGGTAGGAAAAGAAACTTAATATTATGCTAGTATTCATATGTTTCACTATCTTAGGTTTTTGCTCTGACATTCAAGCAGAATAAAGGACTCCATAGAAATGTTTTACTAAACTGCAATTTAAGAAGTGTTATGGTGTGTATGACTCTGGGCTTTCTAATGTAATTTTATTATATTTTTGTCAACTAAAGATTTCACATTATCAATTCCAATTACTCAAAAATTACAATTATTTATACAGTCCAGAAAATAACTCCATCAGCCAGTGTCCACAACTTTATCAGTGAATAGGATAACGTTGAGCTTTTATGGTGAAGCCTCAGCTACAGCAAGTGGTGGTAAACAGTAAAATGGTTCCCTTGAAATTTGGTGAAAATGAAAGAGATGCCCAAACATTTGTCTTTCAAATCTGAGACAATAAAACAAGAGACAGAAAAATGGACTGCCAGAGTGAAATTAATGTGCATTCAACAGACTGTAAGGGCTTCTGAATCTTTCCAGTTCCAAATCTGAATTACTATTGCTAGATATGGTTAAATCAAAACAAGAGTTTTAATCTGAAGAAGGTTATTAATCCTGGTGACAATCATGCTTGAGTCTAAGAACACACTGAGGCCATTCAAGAAGGATCTGAATTGAAGATCTGGATGTGCAATTTTGTGTAGAAGTTTGGGGATAACTGTGGGCACCAAAGACAACAACATTAGAGAAGAATGAAGTGGGAGGGAAAGCAGGAATTAGCAGCCACAAATGAAGAACAATGCTGCTAGATACAAGGAAAGATGAATAAAGATCAGACAGAAGCAGGATTCATTAGCTCAACAGAGAGGGGAGTTGGCTATTCACCTACCACACGGAAGTGTAATTTCATTCTCAACAAGTGGTAATAACAAAATATGCACAGCGCCCTTTAGTTAACTTGAGCCATTGCTTCTCTTCATTCTTACCTCTGAGCCAACATCCCACAGCTTCTATTGCTACATGAGAAACGCAGGGACAACAGCATTTGTTTCTTGTCTTTTATTCTACAGGTTTAGGGACAGAAAGAAAAACCTACCTGCTCCTGTTGGAGAATTATTAGGAGAACATCCACTGGCAAGCAGACCAGCCACTTTTATGGTACCTTCAGAAGGGGTGCGCCTGTGCCGCCTTTGCTGGACTTCAGATGAAACAGTTACATGTGTGGGAGTCAAAGACTGGTTGGGATCCTGCTTGAATCTTTCTATGTGGATATTAACCAGAGGGTTACTAACTACTTGCAAAGGAGCTTTCACTGTCACAGGGCTGACAGGCATCTCATATACCACAATTTCATCACTGTCTGAGTGCAGGAGGGATCGTGTGGAGTTACATTCAGAAATGGAAGATAAGGAGAGCAGTGTAAGAGAATTAGATGGCTCGCCCAGTAAAAATATGGGCTCTTCTTTCTTGAAAAGCTTCCTTGAAGGTGGACTGGTACTCCGATAGGAGCGCCCAGCCCTTTGGAAGATACTTTCACGTTTCTTCTTCTCTTCCTTGGGAGCTTCTTGTTCATCCTGGGTTAACAGCTGACATTTGCCAGCCTCCAAGAGGTCAAAGCCTAGGCCAGCAGCAGCAAGCACAGATCCACAGCCAAGAAGGGCAAGCTCACACCTTTTGTGCTGGGAGCTGCCATGCTTTAGGCTGTTGGTGGGGGTGAGCTGAGGGGTGCTTGTGGCAGAGTTAATAGGAGTGATCTCCTCATTGGCATCACTTGACTGACCATCCCAGTCCTCATTCTTCTGAAATGGGATGCAGAGATATGATTGGTTAGATCCAGGGGAATGTAGCATCTTGCTTTCTCCATTTTGCAAGGAATCACAGTCTTCATTTTCTGCAACAATACACAAACAAAAAAAAGCACTGACATTCCTATTGTGTCAAGATGTGAAATTAATTAAGAGGGTATAGAAAAGGTAGCCTTCAAAATGAAAGGGCTTTTAGAATTGAAGCTTGAACAATAGTTTACTATATTCATTGCAAAAAAAAATATAAAAAAATAAAAAAAATTTAAAAAAATTAGCCCGCTTTTCAGTCAAGCAGCGTTATTCTACAATAATGTTCCTGAGAGCTGAACATGTTTATGTTTCAATGTGTAAATATGGAGGTGGTGTTTGCATGTCTGATAGCTACAATATTCTAGTCTTCCAAGATTTTGGTCTACCAGATGCTTTAGTCCCCCAGACTTTGCAAAATTTTAGTCAAAACAACATTATCATCATAGTGGCAGCTTGCCAGATTTTGAGTTACAAGCCCTTGGAGCTACAGAAAGTGCAACAACAGAATTTTCTACTATTTTTTTTTAGAATACAACTAAAACATTATTTTTGGTATTTTAGTGAATTTTTATGTTCCTGTATTTTGGATTGAATTCTGACTTAATTATTGCCCTGCAACTTAAGTTTAGTTTTCAAATATTCTCAAGTAGTTTGTGCCTATGGTGTTTCTATAACTGTAAGACATCTGGGTGTATTCATATTTGAAGTATTTTTTCTGCATATAGAACATAGAAGCAATGTAGATAAATAAAAGCTTGTAGAATTAGACAACTTGATGTTGCCTGGAACCACTGCAACAATGAGATACTTACACCTTGATGCCCAGATGAATTTTGATATCATTGGAAAAGATCTGGTTTCAGTCTGAAATTAACCATTTGGGGGGATAAATGCCAGCAGTGACAAACATAGGCTTCTGGTTTTTCTCCTGAGATCTAAAAAATTCAGTAGGGCTCTTAGGGATACGTTCAGGTGTCAGAATCTGTGACGTGGCAGCTCTCTATATGAACTTATCACACTTCACAAATGTCAGGGAGGAAACAGAAAAACAGCATGCTTGCTATGCTTACCAAAAAGATACAGTTCCAGAGGAATGGGGAAACTCAGCAATTTGGAATACTAATCCTTGCATAAGCAAATCCAAAGCAGATAGCAGTACTTTTAGTTTGCAGTATAGCTGAGGAGGGAGGTGATCAACCCTTTCCAGCCAGGTGTACAGTCCCCCTAAAGGATCAGAAATGTAGCCTAGGGATTCTAATGATTCCACATTTGCACTTAATAGTCTTAATAATGCAAAGCATTTTCTATAAGTTTAGCCTGATGTGTCAGCAATATCTCTCAGCCAGGGACAGTTGGCCCAAAATTATTCATGCTCCTGTAAGGACCATATTGGCTTACCACAATTTGTTACATGGAGACTGCTTTTGAAAATTTATTTGCAGCTTCAGTTTTCAGTATTGCAGCTAGGCATTAAGCAAGGACCACCGTGGAGACTGTGATATTGCCATTTCTGGAAAACTTTGCTGGCAGTTGGCTTGTTTCTTAACACAATTCAAGTTGCCTACTGTGTAAGTTAAAAATGCTGCGTGGCTTCGAAACTGGCGATATAAAAATAACTTTTTAATACATGCATCTGAACATGAATTAAAATCACCGTTGAATTTCTTTCTCTAAATTCCTTCCCTCCCAAAGTGACTTGACAGTTCTGGGGGGTTGGGACCCAATACACAGTTGATCTCAGTCAGGTCAAAAAGCAAACAAGTTTGTTGTGGTTATACCTATAAAATATATTAGGTCACAAAAAAAAACACGTGTTCATTTTTTCTTTTAAAAAGAAATAAGCATAGAGGGATGAGATAGCATGCAGGTAATTCAGTGCAACTAATTTAACAGATACTTTACCCATCTCTGCTAGGCTTGTAAATCCCAGAAAAGGAATTATTGTTCTCTGAACTTTTCCTAGGTTTGGCACACTGGATGACCACTGTCTGGATCCTTCTACCAGAGACTTTAAACTAAAATAAACAGAACAAAATGTGTAAAATTCCTTTTTTTCCCTATCCAGTTTAAGACTGAAACTGTTCAAATTAGTACTCCAGTTAACACAGAAAAGCAGAAAAATGCAAAGGCTGGGGAATTAAACTAGATCAAAATATAAACACACAGTGTGGGTAATGAGTCTTTAACCCCGTGTCTCTCATTGTGGCTGTGTTCAAGATCAAGCAGAGGCTTCTTTCAATTTAAACTGGAACTGTAAGAGATTCAGTCTAAATTGTGACCATGGGAGCAGACGGATGGTTAAAGCTCTCCAACTGCCCATACCACCAGAATATTCTGTGACTTACCAGACTATTCTGCCACAACCCAGATATATTACCAGTACAGATCTTATCTGTGAAGATTCTCACAGAAGTAAGGATCATCTATTATGAGTTAATCTCTGCAACTGCATTGTTCTATCATGTTTGATTCATACTCAGAAAGTGTAAGGTTCTAGAGATTGATTCCTTTCAACATTGTTTCTTCATCTCACTTATGCTGCGTTTTTCATGTAAGTATCTCAGACTTTTTTTTTTTTTGCCAGGTAGTCCCCCATCTAGGATGTTTGTAACTTAAAAGGTTTGAACTGCAACATTCTCGTCAGACTATTCTCTGGAATTTTTTTTAGTTAGCAATAAATAAAAACAGGAAGAAAGGAAATACATACAAAGAGGTCGCATTTGTACATTCATTTAAGTTAGGAAAGTCACAACCTTGGTAAGATATGTAAATTAGACTAAGACTGCATTTCTGTCCTCTACACAACCCAAAAACCGTACTGTATTCTCAGTTTACAATGTTTTAGATTGTACTTTTGTCATATGGCTAACCGTATCGGTTTCTTTCATAAAACAAAGCAGAGGATGAAATAATAAGAAGAGAGGGTCTTCTCAGTGGCTGCTCCTAGGCTTTGAAATGCACTGTTCAGAGAAGCGAGGTTGGCCCCCTCCCTCTTGTCCTTCCATCGTCAGGCAAAGGCAGACTTTTAAGCAGTAAATTTCTCTGGAATGTGTTGTTTATTAATTAAAGATTTTTAATTATTTGAAATTGTTTTTAATCTTGTTTTAATTCTTGATATATGATTAATTGTTCTAAATTTTATATATATAAACTGTGTGAATGCATTTATATATACCATATTTTTCGCACCATAAGACGCACTTTTTCCCCACAAAACAGGGGGGGTGGAAAGTCTGTGTGTCTTATGGAGCGAAGAAAACAGATTATATTTTCCTGTTTTCTTCTCCTTAAAAATTGGTGTATCTTATGGAAAGGTGCGTCTTATGGAGGGAAAATACGCTCTTTTTCCTGCTGTTCAGGGGCTACCAAGGCCTGGTAAGTGACTTTCTTTTATTTATTTTTAAGTTTCTGACCTTCCCCGCCCCAGGAATGCATTAATTAATTTTCAATGCCTTCCTATGGGAAATTTGGTTTCGACTTTTGAACGTTTCAACTTATGAATGGACTTCCGGAATGGATTAAGTTTGTAAATCGAGGGCCCACTGTACAGAAAGTGATGATATGGGAAGTTCAGGAGGAAAAGGTGGGAAGGGAGAGAAAGAAGAGGGTGGAGTTTGAAGCCGGGGAAGTGGGAAGGAGGGAAGGGCAGTTACTGCCTGGTTGGGAACGGGTGTGGATGCAGGATCCATGGACTGGATTATGGGAGAGACTGAGAATGCCAAAGGAGGAGGCAGACTACAGGAAAAGAGCAGATTCCCTCTAAAACCTCTTATTGGAGAGACAGAAGCGAGGGAGTGGAGAAGGAGATTGAGAGAGGAAAAGGAACAAGTGGAGAGGGAAAGGAGAGAAATATTAGAATGGAGAGTGAAAGAAATTAAGAAAAGGAACTACAAGGAAGACCCTGGGAGAACTGAGACCCCAATGGACGGATCATATGGGATGACGATCTGGATGAGGAGACCCTGCCCCTGCTGGAAGGCGTGACGAGGCAGACAGTAAAGGAGTGGGTCTCAAATGATCTTCAGGGACCCTGGGACTGTAGTTACAGAAACCCATTCTTGTTCAACGAATGGAAGCATCTTCCAGACCAGTTGGCAGAAGGAGAAAAGACTCATAATCATGTTCTAGACACTTGTTTAATGTTTACTCCTCCAATAAACCCCACACCTGTTGTGAAACAACATGGAACTGCTGATTTTTTTAATCAAATTTGGAGCCTAAAGTCAAACCCTCACAGAGGGTTGTGTGGATACATAAGGACCACTCAAAAAACCAGTTACAGGTGAGTAAACTATCCTCCTTTATTGTGGCCTCTTTTTCATACAACTGATGACAAGTGTGCTAAATTACTGGAGATGGGTTGTTACACCAGAATGAAAGACAGGACTGCTCTACCAAATGAAGCTTCTTACTTTTGCTAAATAAGTTCTGGAAATAAGTACCTATGGAATGAATTAGCTGACAATGGATCAGATGAGGTACTGAGATCTGACAGAATCTGAAGAGTGAATTCCACATTCCTCACAAGAGTGTTCTGATTGTTTGTCACTAATAACGTATAGGAATCTATACGCTATTAGTAACAAACTAATAACGTACAGATCACTGTCATTAATAACGTACAGGAATAACATGCAGGAATCTATGTACAGGAAGATGGCAATTCCTTTTGTTCATAAATAAGCTACAGCTAGGGTGCCATACACTTTGTGAAAACTCTTGGAGCTATTAACAGATGGAAAGGAAACACTCTGAATTGATAAATTTTCCACCCTTAGGCAAAAAGACTGAAACTCCATTGTTTCAGTTGTATGGAAATGTGAAAATATGCATGCTTTAGGTCTAGTGCTGCAAACAAATCTCTCTGGTTCAATAGTGATAGATTTGTCTGCAAAATCACCATGAGCAATTTTTGTAGTGTTTTATACTTGTTGACTACTCTCAGGTTGCAGAATTGGGTGCAAACTACCACCCTTCTTTGAATATAATCAATAACAGTCAATTAAAAAGGCAAAAAAGAATTATTATTATTATTATTATTACTAGTGCTGCAAACAAATCTCTCTGGTTCAATAGTGATAGATTTGTCTGCAAAATCACCATGAGCAATTTTTGTAGTGTTTTATACTTGTTGACTACTCTCAGGTTGCAGAATTGGGTGCAAACTACCACCCTTCTTTGAATATAATCAATAACAGTCAATTAAAAAGGCAAAAAAGAATTATTATTATTATTATTATTATTATTCAAGGAATTGGAATAATAAAATTAATATAGAGGAATGTGGAACATGACTAATAACAATAAATTAATGTACAAAATAAAGATTAGAAAAGGAATATTGAATATAAACGATTTTAAAGATATATGGAAACTATATTTAGTACTTGTGGCAGAAAAAAAGGAACTGAGGTAAATGGGCAGAGTGAAGGCAAGGGATAGAAGCCTCAAAGCTGAAGCTCTGGAAAGCTCTGTGGAAGCGTTCACACTGTCAACAGAACCTAATTGTGTGAAACATAGAGACTATGATGAAGAACTGTGTCTTATGGTCAGAAGGAAATTCTACTAGCTTCTACAGTGTTGTTATGAAATCCACTAGAGGGTGCTAGAATACAAATTAATCTCTCCTCTACTTTGTATTAGGGATGCATGCAAAGTTCCCTGTGTTGAGCTGATGAGTTTAACTGATTTACCCATTTTTCCATCTCCCAAAATTAACTCTAAAAGGTAAATAATTTACAATCAGAAAGCCATATACATCTCTATCTGAAAATACGTTCCATATATGCATGTTTGGAAAATGTGCAAAAAACCTCATTTGTACTCATTTTTAAATTGCACATGAACATGCTTTAGGTCAACATTTGAAAAATTCGAACAAAAAAAGCACATGCAAATATAGTGGTGCCTCGCATTACGATGTTAATCTGTTCCAGTGAAATCGCTGTAGAATGAAAACATCGTAAAGCGAAATTTAAACGCCCATAGAAACGCATTAAAACCTGATTAATGCGTTCCTATGGGCTTGAAACTCACCGTCCAGCGAAAATCCTCCATAGCGCAGCCATTTTCGCTGCCTGTGCAGCGAGGAATCCGTCCCAGGAAACAGCGGGCAGCCATTTTTTTTACCCGGCAGCCATTTTGAAACCACCGATCAGCTGTAGGAAAATTGTCATTTTGCGAGAATCAGTTCCCGAAGCAGGGAACCGATCATCGCAAAGCGAAATTCCCCCTTCGTCGTTATGCGATTTTGTTGTAAAACGGAGCGCTCGTGTAACGGAAATGAAAACTGTTACTGAGGTACAGAACTTCTTGTAGATTGGGTAATTTCAGGGTTGGGGTAATGTCAAAGGCAAAACTACACCCCTGATATTACTGAGGTCTTGACTGTACTCTCAATAAAAAACTGACTGTACTCTCAATACTGTAAAGGCATTCCCATCATCATTCTTCTGGCCACATATATTAACTCAATAATCCTATTCTCAACAGTGGCCTTACATAATATTGCTGTTAATATATCAGGAAAAATAAGATAAGCTTTTTGGAATGACAATTCAAAAGGTATATACAGAAAATTCAGTACATCAATCCCAAAAGCTCTTTACAAAGTGATAAATTGTTTCTCAACACCCTACTAAAACTGCCAAAATAAAAGCTAAGGTTTTGTCTCTGTTGTATCAAGATTCTGATTAGAGATGGGCAGGATCCTCTTCCCAGGTTTTTTTTTACTGCTGCAATAGGTGTTCAGTGGTTCAGTGCCCCATCCTCACCAACAGGTGCCCACTCAAAGGCAGCATCCCAATTTCCCTGCCTCACCTCCTCTGGGTGCTGCTTCTGAGTGGGTGCCTGCTGGTGGGAGCAGGGTGTTGAACCACCAAACACCTGTTGCGCGGTAAACAAACTGGGCCAAACTGGCGGTTTGTGCCTATCATGTTCCCGCCTGTCCCTTGGTTGTTTCACCAAGCAAAAGGCACAAGCAATGTGTCATTCAGCTGCCACCAGTTGATTACATCACCTTTATTCACTATTAATGACAGAGGCCCAGGCAACGTATCATTTAAGAACCAAGTAGAAATTGTTTATTGTTACAGGTGATAACAGTCCAGTCAGTATCATTAATTCTCAACTAAAACATCCTTCTTTCTCCACTCTCAACTGCCTACTCTCCCTCTCTCTCTCCCCTTCTCTTCACCCCCACTTAATTCCACCTACCAACTCCTATTGGTATGTGCAAATCTCATCATAATTTTTATGAGCAGGGTAAATGCTCCAGTGCCCATCTCTAATTCTGATTTTTTTTAAAAACACACACACTATGTCCCTTAGATATCTAGGCTGGAGAGAGAAGATTGAGTGGTGATATGACAGCTAGCCTTTCAGCTATCGCAGGACATCACAGGAAAGATACAACAAGCTTATTTTTCCACTGTTCCACAGAATAGGAGAAGAATGGCTTTGAATTACATAGGACAACTATGGCTAATTTTACCTCAGTAATTACAGAATGAAAGCACTGTACAGTCTCTTCTCCTCTCTGGTCAAGTGTGCCTCTCTAGAAAGCCAATGTAAACAGTCCAAACCTGCATGTATAATGTTGGACTTAGCCTAGCCATTTGAAATAGTTCACTGAGTGAATTATGGGATGAGATGGCTGGACAGTGTCTGTGAAGCAACCAACATGAATTTGACCAAACTCCGGGAGGCAGTGGAAGATAGGAGGGCCTGGCGTGCTCTGGTCCATGGGATCACGAAGAGTCGGACATGACTAAACAACGAGTGAATTATTTCACTTAAGTGCCAGACAACATGAGCAGAAAGAAAAATATTATCTCCTCCTAGCATGAATAAGTGGGATGTAGCTTTAATGCTATCAGATTAAGGCCACCTTCATAAAATAATTGTTTCAAAGAGGTTCATGAGAGTTAGCTGGTGCTGGTAGTGATAAAAGAGGTCTTAATGGACAGAGATGAACACTAAGACCTAGTGTTGACTCTCAAAGAACTCTTACTTTTCACAGGCAGTCATTTTAACTTTAGTGACTGAGTAAGCAGGTTTCTTCCTATCTGCTTTAGCTGCTGATTAGAAAGGTAAAATATAAACACTGAAATAAATATGATAAAAGTTGAAATAATTGCAAAAAATGTTATCAGTCAAAGCATGTCAGATGTATGAGAAAGGTTGACTTAGTTAAATTTTATGACATGGTAGCAATTAAGAATTTGTTCTCCTTACCCATCCTCGCATGCTATTAGCTCTTTTTGACAAAGCGAGCTTGGGCCCCATGTGCGACCTTTCTTCTTTTGGCCTCTTCTCTCTTCTCCTTCCTCCTCTTTCTGGGATACAGAATTCTGTCCCCATGTTTTGCAGCTTTCACCGGGTGTTACTGGGGGTGAGGTGAAGAGAATAACAGAAAGAAAATGAATAAGAATTTATACAGAAGTCTTGTAGCAGACAGTGCTTTGTGCAGAGCTAGCAAAGAAAAGAGATGTTTTCTCAAAAATAACAAGCCCTGGATTTAATTTTTTGTACTATATTCTAACCTAATTCTGATCTAGAACTGGTTGCATTATATTTGTTCCTCATAATATGGTAAAGGTATTTAGTTTGCTGCTGGAGAACAAGAGATCTTTATGTGTGTAAGGATAACTACTTAACCCTTTCTTTAAAAAAAAAAAACCCAAACAGATACATATTCTAGGAAGAGTGCACAACAGGAACGTTGTTAAATATATTCCATACATGACTAAACATGGGAAGTGCTGGTAGATAGAATTCTATCCCCAAGGGAAGACAGCACAAATCTCACAATCAGATTTCAAACATTAACCATGTTAAAACATAGACAACATTATATATATTGTTATACAGTATATTATAGATTTGTATTACTAATATTTGTTGTCATGACATGCTGTTAAGTTGCTTCTCACTGGTTATGGCAACCAGATCTTTAAAAAGAAAAGTCTGCCTCTTTGTATAAAGAGCTAAACAAAGAAGTGACCAGGAAGAAAAGCACCTTTCCGTGGACTGTTAAACAACACCAGCATTGTGTGAAGAATGGATCACTGTGAATTTCTCTAGTGCCCACACTGATACCATGTGCAATACTGATGCATGTAATATTCAGCTAAACAGAATTTCATACTGTATTGTCCACTGCAGTTTATACACAGGCCTGCGGAAACAATCTTTTCTCAGAAAACTATGGCTTGTATGCCACTGAAATAATACAGCCCCATACTAGAAAGGCATTCTTAGAGAGAAAGGTTTAGATGGCACAAAATAAAACAAGTCACAACTATGCATCTATAAGATAAGCTCCAAGAGTGCCAAGAATACAAACTACAAAGAAGCAGGGACTGGCAATTAGCTGTTAAAGGCATACTTTAAGCAACAAAAGTGCCTCTGAGTGCAAAAGATGATCAGAGAAGCATGAAAATGAAACTGAAGCCAAATAAAAAGCACTGTTTCAAGAAGTCTTAGAAGATTCTCTTCTGAATCATAATCACTTATTGACAGTTGTCACATTTTATAACATTGCAATTGAGACTGAGGGGGGGAAAGTGCTCACACTGTATGGCTCTGAGCCTGGGAATAATGGTAGGGCTGGCAGGAGGGCTGAAAGAGCTACTGATCAAACTTTTCCTTTTATCCATGGTGGGAGATGCTTGCACGGTGAACTTATGTTGGAAATCTGCTAACAAAACAAAATTTGATAATTATAATTAATGAAACAACAGCAACATCTCAAAAAACACATTCATTTCATCTGTTCATACAACAGAGGTATTGCATTTATAACAATGTTAATCGTGAGTAGACAATGTGTAGCCTGCATAATTAACTTGTAAACCACCCAGAGAGTGCTTGAAGCACTATGGGGCAGTATATAAGCAGCACGTTTTGCTTTGCTTGAGGGATATGTACACTTTTTCACTAACTACATGTTCCACTTTGTACTTTTAATAAATGCAGTTTTCCACTTCAACAACACTGCACCTATCTCAGGGAAAACCAAAGTCCACGGTGGCAATCACCAGTTTTATAAATGCATGCCATTTCCTATAAAGACTCCAGAAAGGAACAGGAAGAAGAGGTCTATAGATGCACTAGTTTTAATATCAAACATCTGTAATATTTACCCACATCATGGTAAATTTATCAGTTTTGAAATTTAATTTAATGTTTTGCCATTATAATCAGGATATCATTTCTGCAGAAGAGAACTTACGGTATAGTACACACAATTCAAAATACCTTTAATATTTAGATGGGAAAAAGAAATTTGGAGGTGCATAATTTACAATTAGATCCAGGAATAATTGGACACTGACACAATTTTCATAATTTTGGCTCCACAATGGATCTGAAATGAAACAACCAAGATGTAATTGAAGTGCAGCCAGTCATCTTTAATTAAAGGGACTGAACAAGAATATGGTATGAAACGTTTAGGAACTGCAACCATTTTCATACACAGTTCCCTTATTTCAGGGGCTCAAATGTAATTGGACAAATTAACATAATCATAAATAAAATGTACATTTTAAGACTTTGTTGAGAATACTTTGCAGGCAATGACTGCTTGAAGTCTGGAATGCATGGACATCAACTAAGACTGGTTTCCCTCCTTTGTGATGTTTTGCTAGGCTTTTACCACAGTTGTCCTCAGTTGTTTGTTCATGGGTCTTTCTGCCTTAAGTTTTTTCTTCAGCAAGTGAAATGCATGCTTGATTGGGTTCATATCAGGTGACTGACTCAGCAATTGCAGAATATTCCATTTCTTTGCCTTAGAAAAACCTCCTGGGTTCCTTTTGCAATATGTTTTGGGTTATTCTCCGTCTGTAAAGTGAAGCACTGTCCAATCAATTTCTCTGAATTTGGCTGAATCTGAGTACACAATATAGCCCTGTACACTTCAGAATTTATCCGGCTGTTTCTGTCTTCTGTCACATCATCAATAAACACTAGTGACCCAGTGCCATTGGAAGCCATGCATGCCAATGCTATCACATTGCCCCTACCATGTTTTACTGATGATGTGGTATGCTTTGGAACATGAGCTGTTCCAAGCCTTTTTCATACTTTTCTTCCCATAATTCTGGTACAGGTTGATGTTAGTTTCATCTGTTTCAGAATGCTGTTTCAGAACTGGGATGGCTTTTGAAGATCTTTTTGGCAAAGTCTAATCTGGCCTTTCTATTCTCGAGGCTTATAAATGGTTTGCACCTTGTGGTAAACCATCTTGTATTTGCTTTTGTGAAGTCTTCTCTTTATGGTAGACTTGGATAATGATATGCCTACCTTCTGGAGAGTGTTCTTCACTTGGCTGGATATTATGAAGGGGTTTTTCTTTACCTCTTCAATTGATGATGAATTTGGATGTGAATACCCTCAAATTAAAGATGAGAGGCTGCACTTTAAGCCCATATCAATTTAACTGTAACTTGAATTTAGTCTGGTAAACAGTCGAAATAACAAAACTTGTGTCAATGTCCAAATATTTCTGGACCTAACTGCATGCATGAGAACTGAATCTGGTGTCCAGTTATTAAAGGTACAGGAGATCTGCCTTCTGTTTGAATGAGGCCATTGTAACTGACTGTGTAAAACAGGCATACTATCAGAGAAAAACGTGATAATGAAGCTGTTTTTTAACATCAGCCTGTGAACATGTGCAGACAAGTTCATGGTGGCTTTTAGGTGATCTGCGAAATACTAGAAAGAAAATGTTGAACGCCTTTGACAAAACAAACAATGTTGAATTATGAATTAACCCACATCACACCTCTATTGAGTGCATTTGGTGAAGAGAAGATGGAAAGACCACTAATGTTAACTTTGCTTGCACCTCATTTTGCTAATACTCTTGTTACATTCTTGTTAAAAAAGTGTAAGTAGCATTTTCCAGTACAAACAGATCAAGCTTGTAAACCATATATTCTGCATAGATGATTTGTTAAGAAAAAAGTTACAGGATATTATTATTATTATTATTATTATTATTATTATTATTATTATTATTATTATTATTATTATTTTGGAAAGAGATAGCTTTACTCATTCAAGCTATACTGGAACACACCAGAAGGGAGACTGATGCGATTGCCATCTTTTAACTTGAGACGGTTTCTCCTGAACTTGCCCATTCGTTTTTTCACACGGGGCTTCTCCTGACACAGTTGGTGGATGATTATGTTGAGTTCTCTCTCTAAGATATCAATCTCCCGTTCTGCTAGTTCCTGCTCACGCCTCCGCAACAACTCCTCATGGTTCTTCTGCTGAACTGCTGCCCGTGTTAATTCTTCTTCCCATGTCTGCAACTCCTGAAAGGAAGCACGATAAAATCTCACATCAGTATGAAACAGATTCTCAGAGAACACCTAAAATCTGTGTCAGCTATGTCAGTTATGACTGGTCTCCGTTATTGCTCTTACGTTTTAGTTGTTGTTGTTGTTGTTTAGTCATTAAGTCATGCCCGACTCTTTGTGACCCAATGGACCAGAGCACACCAGGCCCTCCTGTCTTCCACTGCCTCCCAGAGTTGGGTCAAGTTCATGCTGGTAGCTTTGTTGACACTGTCCAGCCATTTTGTTCCCTAATGTCCTTTTCCCCTCTTGCCTTCAATGAGAGGCTGCACTTTAAGCCCATATCAATTTAACTGTAACTTGAATTTAGTCTGGTAAACAGTCGAAATAACAAAACTTGTGTCAATGTCCAAATATTTCTGGACCTAACTGCATGCATGAGAACTGAATCTGGTGTCCAGTTATTAAAGGTACAGGAGATCTGCCTTCTGTTTGAATGAGGCCATTGTAACTGACTGTGTAAAACAGGCATACTATCAGAGAAAAACGTGATAATGAAGCTGTTTTTTAACATCAGCCTGTGAACATGTGCAGACAAGTTCATGGTGGCTTTTAGGTGATCTGCGAAATACTAGAAAGAAAATGTTGAACGCCTTTGACAAAACAAACAATGTTGAATTATGAATTAACCCACATCACACCTCTATTGAGTGCATTTGGTGAAGAGAAGATGGAAAGACCACTAATGTTAACTTTGCTTGCACCTCATTTTGCTAATACTCTTGTTACATTCTTGTTAAAAAAGTGTAAGTAGCATTTTCCAGTACAAACAGATCAAGCTTGTAAACCATATATTCTGCATAGATGATTTGTTAAGAAAAAAGTTACAGGATATTATTATTATTATTATTATTATTATTATTATTATTATTATTATTATTATTATTATTATTTTGGAAAGAGATAGCTTTACTCATTCAAGCTATACTGGAACACACCAGAAGGGAGACTGATGCGATTGCCATCTTTTAACTTGAGACGGTTTCTCCTGAACTTGCCCATTCGTTTTTTCACACGGGGCTTCTCCTGACACAGTTGGTGGATGATTATGTTGAGTTCTCTCTCTAAGATATCAATCTCCCGTTCTGCTAGTTCCTGCTCACGCCTCCGCAACAACTCCTCATGGTTCTTCTGCTGAACTGCTGCCCGTGTTAATTCTTCTTCCCATGTCTGCAACTCCTGAAAGGAAGCACGATAAAATCTCACATCAGTATGAAACAGATTCTCAGAGAACACCTAAAATCTGTGTCAGCTATGTCAGTTATGACTGGTCTCCGTTATTGCTCTTACGTTTTAGTTGTTGTTGTTGTTGTTTAGTCATTAAGTCATGCCCGACTCTTTGTGACCCAATGGACCAGAGCACACCAGGCCCTCCTGTCTTCCACTGTGTGATGTTGAAAGTAAGCTCCAGGAATAAAAAATTCAGAACCTTGGAGAGTGGCTTGAAAAGGGCCAAGCATGATTAGAACTATCTAATCACGCCTGGCTATTCACCCAGAAATTATTCCTGCCAATATGGTTAAGCAGCTTAATAATATTTATTTATTTGTTTGTTTGTTTATACCCCACCCATCTAGGACGAAATCTACTCTGGGTGGCTAACAATAAAAACAAAAAAACAATATAATAAAATAAAAAACAACAATAGTAATATAGTTCAAGATGGGGGAAATGACAGGAGGGAATGCCTGCCTGAAGAGCCAAGTCTTAAGTTTGCTCCTAAAAACAACCTTATTAACTCTTATTAGCACATTATTAGCTCTTATTAGCACTCTTATTGCTCTTATTAGCACATTAATCATTTCTCCTGCTCAGCAGAGGGCAGGAGAAGTGAAACAATTTTAGAAATTGCATATATAGACTATTTTTAAATTATAAATAGACTATATGGCTGTATCAACTATTTTAATTTTTTTTCTTTTTTCCTCCTCTTAAAGGACTGGTCAAGAAACTGCCTGTAGTTGAAGACACAAGCGTGGATTTGACTGTGGGCAGCTTCTCAACAGGTCCTTTAAGGCAAGGCAAAGAAAAGTTTTTTAATTTTTTTTTTTTTTAGTAACATGGCCTCTAATTTTCAGCCCTGCTGGGTGGGGCTCTGCTCCCCCACGATTCCACCTTCCATGCAGGGTTCCATTGCAACCAGAACCAAAGGAGCTGAAAAGAATTACTTTTTTAAATAATTTTTTTTATTTTTAAACTACTAGGAATCGGGTAGGGAATACAAAAGGTAAAAGGAAGTGCAAGGGATGGAAAAAAAGTTTTTAGGAGAACACAGAATATACAATCATCCACTCTGTTCATATTAAGTATACATGCCTCTGATCTATTCATTTTTCAGTACAAAAAACAACTTTGTATTCTTTTATATATAAAAGAGCATGTATACTATTTGATTATCCTCTAAATATCAGCTTATATTCATATTTTAATTTAAGTCTAAGTCATTCCAACTCTATCAAGAAATCGAGACCAATTATAAAATACATCCCCTCTTTCATTTTCCTTCTGCCTTGGAAGTACATTCAGTCTGTCTGGAAAGATAACCATTTCTGGCACTTCCCATATTTTCTCAGTACCCTTCTCTTGTTTCTGTGCCTCTATTTTCTTCCAGTTTTGGGGAGATATAATTAAATCCAGGACAGTAGTCTGATTTTTAGGATCACCTTTTTTGACTATCATAGCTGGGTAGCTCACATGGTAACTCTTAATCCCATCTATGTTACCTGGTATCGCTCTCAATAAAAACTGTTCTGGAGTTATGATTTCATTCAGTTATTGTTTAACCTTTGATGGTTTCCCTTTCATCAGGTCTTCTACCTGTCTGAGGTGCTCATTCACCTGCTCAAATCCTGTTATTATTGTCATTTGCATGGTAACCAGCCATTCTTTGTCTGGCAACATTCCCACTAGGTATGTCCTCCCCCTCTTTGCCCAGATATTATAGCAGTATTCTCAGAATCCACACAGTCCAGCCAAAAAAGAGTCCAAAGTAAGCATCCAACAGGGAACCAGTCTCTCTTAAAAAGAAAAACCGTTGTAGTCCTTTAATAACTCCAGACCTGATTTTCTTAGGTCCTCCGCCTATTCTGTTAAGTTCCTCTCGCTGATGAGCTGATGATTTACTGTCCGTTTAATGTCCGTTGCTCCCAGGGATTTATTCTTCCTTCTAAAACCAAAGACGCTTCTGTTATCAAAATACCATTCGATTGGCTTCTCCCACTCTTCAGTCTATGTCGCCAACACTGATGATTCAGCACCTGTTTTTTATTCCCAAAAGCCTGTGCCTCCTGCTCCAAAGACAAGATTTTATTTTCAAAGTCCACTCAACTAGTGAGAAAAGTCCAGATTACACAGCATTGACAAGATTTCAATCCCTGTTGAGTAGTATTTCCTCTGGGTTTTTTTTCCAGAAACACAAAATTTTTCCGTCTCACAGTGTATCTGAATGTCCTTCGGCCAGCTTACTAATTATAAATAACACACAGTTCGCTTTAAAAAAAAAACAAGCTAGCATGCACGGTTTGCCACTTCCTCTTTCTCCTTTTGGTCAGGTATTTTCCCTTTTTAGTTTCCTTTACATCTTAATGAGGTTATTCATAAATCAAAGGCTTACTTTGCTGTTGTTTCTGTTCTCCTTCCTCGGGCAATTTGGGGGTGGAGTTTCGTGCAGCTTTCTGCCATAAGATATGGCCTCCCGTCTCCGGTCTGTGCGTGGGTGAATTTTCAAAGGGATGAAAGACCCTCCGGCTGCCAAATCTTCTACCTTCTGGGCTCTCCATCTGCTTGGGGGTGACCTCTCCTGGCCCTCCTTCCATCCCCTCCCTTTCTAGAGGGACGACAGGCCAGGCAGTTCCAGTTTTTCCTGGGAGCTGTTTGCTGGGAGCTGCTGGCTTCACTGCAGTCAAGCTCCGCCTCCGGAGCTGAAAAGAATTACTGTGGGTGCATGGAGGAGGAGGAATGCTTGTGCTGGGGAGAAGGGAGCTGCAGGTGCACACCTTGGGGCTGGTGCACTGTAGCAAAGATGTTGTCTGATTGCTTCCTCATCAGCCCATCCCTGCAACACTCCAAACAGTAGGCTAAACAGCCCGTGCAGTCAGCCTCTAACTTTAACCCATGCTGGAGATCAATAAGAATGAAAAAAACAGGGGAAAGTTTATAGTGCCTTTCTTCCACAAAACACTGGACAGAAATGGCAAATCTATGCATTGTAGCTCAGTCATAACTGGTTTTCCAAGAAGGATCATCTTAGCTCATTTCAGCATGTCAACAAAGATAAAGGAGAAAATAATAAGGAAAAATGCAAAAATATTCACTTTAAAGACTAACAGATATTTTAGTGTGAGCTTTTGTGAATCAAAATCCAATTATTTACATACTGGAGAAGAAGTTCTGTTACTCAGTTCTGCAGAAGTTGTAACTTTCAGTGACAAATTGCCTTAAGAAATCACCACATGCATTATCCATGGCATGCAACTCAGTATGCAACAATGTCTATGGAGATTTCTGAATTTATAGCAATTCACTAGTAAAAGTTACACTTTTTGAACAACTACACAACATGATTTCAGCCAGGAGGTACAAATACATGTCCCCTATATTTATTCCATAGTGGCCAGATTCATGTCCACTTAAAGATACAGATAGTAGGCTCACCTGACAAAAGGTTATTAACATCTACTCCAGTGTGATTTACTATGCTAAGCAATAAAATTTTGATCACTCTCACTTTGTCTAATGTCTGTACTCTTAAATGGACATGACTGTTGCCACCATGGAATATACAGGGAACATATATTTGCACTGTGTCTGAAAAAATGGATTTTCATCCACAAAAGCTCACACTGAACTAAATCTATCAGTCTTCTAAAGTGCTACAAAATTCTGCCTTTATCTTTTTAATTTTTACTTTTGCTAACAAGCCGTAAGCAACAATCATTTAAAAATAAAATTGACGATTTTGTTAAGACTTGAAATATTACATTTGTGCTCTGCTTCTATCTACACCAATAACTATATCTTCAGGATAAAATGTAGAATACTCCCTTTTAGTGTCCATACAGACTGACATTATTATGTGTCTGTTTACTTGACAAATGGAGTGATACTATTAATTTTCGCAAAGTGCATAATAAGCCATTTGAAATATTAATTTGCATACATACAAAATTTAATATTTGTTGCTGTAACGCTTCAGCTATACTATCATATGTCACATCTAGTTCTTTTCTAATCTGATGCACAAAACTTCAATCACAGGTTCCTGGCAATTTTACTGCTTTGCTGCATAACCTAATTCTGATTTCTGCCCTCACTTTAAGTCACCTGAACTTTTTAAAAATCTGTCTTGCAACTGGCAAAACCCTCCTTTCCCTCTTCCATTTCTGCCTCCCTTGTCTTTTATATTTTACCTACCTTCATTGAGGGTCACAGTTCTATTTTACAGTCTACAATATAATGGCTGAAATTCCATTGGCATAACTTGCACTATGTAAGGCTTATGGTGTCATCAGCAGTGGCAATATTTTGGAAATTGAATATTTCCAACTTTTTGTCCCCAAACTCCAAAGATTCTAATGTAATTCCTTTCACTGGCAGGGAGCTGCAAGAAGGGAGTAGAAAGTCTTTCAAAAGACCTGAATATGGTTTACAAAATTTAGAATTTGAGAAGTCTGTGCATATGAATACACAAAAACCCAAGAAACATCATGTCCATCAGAAATGAGTATAATAAGAAAGTTACATACTTCAAGAGCTAGTCATTCACCTTTTCTTTGGCTCTGAGTTGATCAAACATTTCCTGGATCTCAACTTTCCAATCGTCTTGCAGGGAATGGAACGAATCCTCAGGCATTTCAAAGAAACCAGACTCCTCTATGTTGGTTAGATGGTTCAAAATATTTGCAAAAGATGGTCTTGAATGAGGGTCAGCATTCCAGCAATCTAGATAGAGCAAAGATATTCTAGCTCAGAAGCCAAAGGAGTTATCTGTAGAACCACTCTCTCAGTTGTTGATATCCTAACCCATCTTCTGGTCGATCACACTTCAATGCATGTATTGTTCAATAAATTTCTTTTGATCAGGGTTGTTTAATCATGTATGTAGCAATGCTACATACATAAATCCCCTCTCCACAGATTTGTACTTCTACACAACTGAAATTATTCTCTCTCTCTGGATACTCATATGGTGGTTTCAAAACTGCCAAACAGATACCTATCCATTTATCTCTTATATTACAGCCTGTCCATCTTATAAGTTTGCAGGATACAATCAGATAAATGCACAACTTCAGACATCAGACTCACTCAGTGATCAATAAAGAAAAGTGTGTTCTATCATGTGTAACAACAAAAGATCATTAAAATTAGCATATGCTGCTTTTCATTCAGGATGCCTGAACTGACTTTTTCTATGTGTCTGATGCAACAGAATTCCTTATGCTAAAGTCCAATATTCCAAGACCAAAAATATTTAAAACTGTGTAAGCAAAGTCATCCTCATGCAATAAAACAGATAATCTATGGCTGGGCGTTCGCTTTGGTCCCTCTTCTCATCTCTCTATGCCCCCACTGGGCATAGAGAAAGGGGGAAAGCCTGACTCAAGGCATCACCCACCCCCAGGGGTGGGTGTCCATTCTGGCAGGCTTTAGCAAGCTGCTGGAAGGGAAAATCCCTCTCTGCTTATGCCCCAAGGAACAGCTGTACCAAGGGGGCATAAGCAGATATGGAACGAGGGACCAATATAAAATGGTTATATTCATTGCTTCATATTCGTCGGGGTCTCTGGACTCCAAGAATATGAAGCAATGAATATCTGATGAATCAGGGATATTCGTTGGATATCCTGATTCATTTTTATAATCATACCCATGTCTAACTATAACTCATAGAGTGACATGAGCTTGTTCAGGGTTCAAGTATGTGGATGACACACAACTAGTGGTAGAATATACCAGATGGGCCGGATATAAATCGAACAAACAAACAAACAAACAAATATATAAATAAATATCTCTCCTTTCCATCTAAGGAAGGAAGCTGTCTTGGTTCTAATTCAATGTATTTATGAGGTCTATTATGTTTGATAACTATTTTAGGTTCATGAATGTGCATGTTTCCAGCATCTTGGAGGTCCAAGGGATAGCTTCTAAGGAAGTTAAATTACCACAAAATGAGGTTAGTGGACAATCTTTCATGCTCGGAGGTCGTCAACATTACCCCAAGGATCCAAGTTCTTGACTACACATTTGAATGGACTTTTTACTCAACACTTCCAGACCCTAGATTTTGATTTTCTATGAGTAGATACCTGGACTGAATACATTTGCTCATTATTCACAAATACTGTTTGACGCTTTGATATCAGTTGGTGATACATTTTTATTGATACTTTAGTATATAATAATGTTCTAATTTTTGTTCAGCTACAATATGGAGTTCTCTTTTTTGGTTTTCTTTTATTCTGTACTCTCTAGATTTTGATAAGATGGTATCAATAATGGGCTGAATGAGGGCAAACAAACTGAAATTTAATCCAGACAAGACAGAGGTGCTGGAAGAGGTGTCAATTGGAAGGCAGATGAGGGAATAGGGATACAACCTGTGCTGGATGGGATTAACACACACACCCCTGAAAACTCAGGTTCGAAGCTTGAGTATGGTCCTGGATTGATTCCTGAGTCTCAATGCCAAGGTTTCGGCAGTGGATAGGAGTGCTTTTGAACTGTTAAAACTGGTGCCTTGCTCTACTCTGCTCATTCCTTGAGATGGCTGATTTGGCTACAGTGACACATGCCTTAGTTACATCTCTTTTGGATTACTGTAACACACTCCATGTGGGACTGCCTTTGAAGACAGTTCAGAAACTTCAGCAGGTTCAAAATGCAGCAGCCAGACTACTGACTGCAGGCACTTATAGGGGGCACATAACATCCCTGTTAAAACTACACTGGCTACCAGTCTATTTCCAGGCACAATTCAAAATGCTGGTCATTACCGATAAAGACCTATACAGCTTAGATCCAAGCTACCTGGGTACATAAGAATGGGCACCTGGACACCTGAGTTCACTATTAAAACATCTAATCATATCACAGGCAAATGTAACAATGACAGTAGGAAGGAGAGGATATCATCCTGTACTTGTCTCAAGGAGATAATCAGTCTGTTGCAGCAAAACAAGAAAAGAGGCATGTGGCACTGCAAAGGATAAAATTGGATATCTGGCCTAACATTTTGTGGCATACATCCCAATTTATTGCATGGATAATTATTTGTATAGTTGTAATTAAAACGTCCATTAGCTGCTTTGTTGTACTCCAACTGCCAAATTTAAGCTGCAATCCCGTAAGCATTTATTTACAATTTCTGCTGCATCCAATGAAGGCTACTCAAAATAAAGCATTACTCAAGGAGCATTTTAGTTCTGCCCCCTCCATGACTACCTCTACTGCAATCTACATGTAGAAAGCAATAAGTATGAAGATGAGAGAAGAAACACTTGAAACTGTAAAGGACAGGTGGGAAAAAGAAAAGGTTGACAGAAATAGGACCAGAATTTTAAATGCAGTTTTTTTAGTTACTATCACATAGAGACAGAAAGCTATTATAATAATCTGTAAAAAGAAATAGAGGATAACAACAAAGGGGGAAAAACAAGAGCTCTCTTCCAGAATATCCAAGAAATCAAAGGGAAATGTAAGATTAAACTAGGAATGCTGAAAGACCAACAGAGAAATTGGTGGAAGCAACGGCACTAGTTTTAAGATATGCAGATGACACCATCTTACTGGCATTAAGTAGCAATGACTTGAAATGACTTTTAGTGAAAATGAATGTGCCAAAGCAGGACTACAGTTAAACATTAGAAATATTAAAATACTTACTACAGAAGAACTATACAACTTCAATGTTGACAAGGAAGAGATTGAAACTGTTAAAGATTTTGTATCCCTTGATTTAATCATTAATCCAAATGGTGTGAAAGCCTGATAGGAAAGAAAGCTGACAGGGAAAAAACCTTGAGTACTGTAATTTGAAATGGTGCTGGAGGAGATCTTTGAAGATACCCTGGACTTCCAGAAAGATGAGCAAATGAGTCTTAGATCAAATCAAGTCCAAACTATCTATGGAGGCAAAAATGATTAAACTGAGGCTGTCCTACTTTGGGTACATCATGAGAAGGCAAGATTTGCTGGGGGAAAAACATCAATGCTGGGAAAAAATATAAGGGCAGTAGGAAAAGAGAAAGCCCAAATATAAGTTGGATTGACTCCCTAAAGGAAGCCACAAGGTTAAGTTCACAAGAGCTGAGCAGGTCTGTTGAGGACAGGACATTTTGGAGATTGCTCACTGTGACGGAATGCCCACGTCACTCCTGTCACTCATAGCTGAAGCTCAAGAGTAGGAGCCTATGAGAGGATAGGAGGGGCGGAGTAAATTAGGCAGTTGGAGGCAGTTAGGGTGGGAGTTAGGAGGTGAGAAGGTGAAAGAGAGAATTGGAGAGTGGAGGAAAGAAATTGAATAGTCAAGATAAGTCTGAGAACTTGAGAGAACTGATATTATTAATAAGTTGGTTAAAGGGAATAAATTAATAAAACAAATGAAGAATTGAACGTGTAACCAAAGATAAGTTTTAATGAGTGATTCTATACAAAGAACATTTGTGATTCAAATTTAGTCTAAATAAACAAGTTATGTTGGCAGCAAGTGTCTGATTCAAGCATTGTGCAAGTGTGGATAAGGGATATCCATTAGTGGCAGCGAATGAAAGAGAAAATATCACCAGAGTGAATCTTGGTTTGCGGGAAACAAACAGGGAACATTGGGTGAAACGTCACACTCACTTATAGGGCAACTTAATGGTGCAGAAGAACCACCACCACCACTACACAAATCAGAACACTGTTTTTTTCCAAGTTCTAATTTATGTGGAGAGACCCACAGATACAAGAGGCTCTTATCTGCAGACATGTTAACTTCTACATGCAGAAGGGTGATGAAAGTGATGACCAGGTGAAGGGGAGGGGCTAGTGTATTCCCCTTCTTCACAGATTTGCTGTCCACAGTTTCTACTGTGTGAGGAGGGATTAAATGTCCAACGGACCACAGCATTACCTGTGCTATTGGCATAAATATCAGAATTGGGGCCAAATTAGTAATACAGGTAATAGAGAATAATAACATTAGCCAGGATAAGGCCAGGCCAGTGACAATTTTGCCAGGGGATGATAGGGCTGCTTTGTTGATAAAGATGCCTGACCTGTGCAAAATAAGTATCCATTTGTAACACTATCAGTAGATTTTTCTGAATATTAATAGGAAAGGATATGCTTATGCCAAATTCATAGTGAAGATGTGACATCCAAAGCTGTATTAACACAAATACTATATAAATTGTGTCCTTTGAGACTATTCTGATTTTATTACCAGATTTTGGGAATCCATGAAGGATTACACTGAGAACAATCTCAGCATGTTCTGTATTTTACAGTATTAGATGTTGCCACCTTATGATCAAAAGCTTCCTCTACATACTGATTTGATCTCACAAATTCAGATTTACTTTATTGCAACCATGGATCAGCCTTTTTAAAACAAGAATAACACAAATGCAGCAAAGTGTGTGCCCCAGAGGAGGTCCAATCCACAATCTGCTAATGGAGAAGGTTCCCATGCCTTGAGGGTTCATCCTATTTCCTAATCTAGTTGGTGAGGTGATTTAACCAACTGCTTCCTTGGTACACATGAGGCACCTAATTTTGATGCTTTGTAGCCGTGCTTGAAGAGCCAGAAAGGAGTAGGACAGTTAAGATTTGTCAAATCCATTTGGGAAGTTTTTTTTTACTGAGTGTGATATACTGTGTATCTTATAATTTGAGTAGTGTACAGAAGAACATAATAGTTCCCATCATTCCAAACTGACCGAGACTCTGTACAGAACATGTGGGTTATCTTTGTTCGAAAAGTGATGAAGTAAGTACCGTATTTTTCGCTCCATAAGACGCACCTTTCCATAAGACGCACCACTTTTTTAGGAGAAGAAAACAGGAAAATATAATGTTTTCTTCGCTCCATAAGACGCACAGACTTTCCACCCCCGTTTTGTGGGGAAAAAGTGCGTCTTATGGTGCGAAAAATACGGTATATTAAAGTGGATCAAAGTGAAGGTTTGATGATATTTAGCAAATTTTCAATGGCGAAGGTAATCTGATGGACATTGATGTCACAGAATACTTGCAAGCAAAACCATATAAAGAACCTTGTAAACCAACAAACATTCCATTAAGCCTGGTTAATGAACTACAGAGCCAAACCGATTTACATTTTATACAAAATAAACACTCAATTAGAATTATATTCCAACAGCAAAGTATTTTGTTTGGTCAATTCAGTCTACGCTTACCTTCCATCAGACGGGCAAAAGGTTCTGGGCAGGTTGAAGGAATAGGAAGAGCGAGTTTATTCATGGCAACACCATATGCTACTGCTAGGCCATCAATTCCTCGAAATGGTACTTCCCCAGTTAAAAGTTCCCAAAGCAAAACACCATAGCTATGAAAAGGAAAATAAACTCAGTCATTTACACAACCATTTTCTTAAATCCAATTCAAGTTACAAGCACACGCTGAAAGAGAAAATTTTGAATACAAATGTAGTGATGGCTGCCAACTTGGATGCCTTTGTAATTTTTGGAGATTAGGATCACTGAGAGATCCTAATCAAGGTGGCTCTAGATCAACTCTAGTATCAGACGTTCTATGCCTTAGTATATTTGTGCAGGAGAATACAAAGTAGAACCAGATTTTGTACTCATCTCCTGGAACTGCAGGATTTTGTACTCACCTCCTGGAACTACAGGATTCACACCATAAACAGATTGCTGAACAGACAGGCCTTCTATCTGTTCCGATTTGATCCTTACATTTTTGTAAACTCAGAAATTACAAATTTCAATTATATCTTACCAAAGAAAAATCAAAGTTTTTGTTGCAGTTTAAAACATGAACACATGGAACAGCATTAGCAGGAATGACAAGTGCATCTTATCTCAGCCAAAGTCTTAAGATGCAGTCCTGTGGCCAGAACTTTGTTCATCACTGTATGATGTAAAGATACTTTGTTGCTATTGTAGTTGCCACTGGTATAATGTTGATTTATGCCCATGTAGCCATGCAACATGATTTTAGCCATTATTTAAAATGTAGCAGCTTTCTGTCACAGGATCTGTTTCTGGTAATCATCATGAAATGTACTTTGAAGAACAGATTGCGACACAATTACTACTTTTCATATGAGGCAGTTAAAGAACTTTCTTTGGATTCTCTTTTTCTCTCTTTTGATGTACTTCTCCACTCCAGCAGTCACTGTCCTTCTGAAAGTCCTGTGGCTAGCATATGTGTACACCTAATACTTAGTCAACATATAATAGTTAAAGTCTTATTGCATAGCTACACCTGAAACTGTGGATGTTATTGTGAAATTTGCTTGAAAGTGCAAGTCTTATTCAGGAAGCAGTTCTGACGATGCAGCTGCATACCACGTTGTGTGGCTCAATGTATAATCAGACATATGGTCTGCCTGAGTTTAACTCCCTGTATACTTCGGCATGCATGACTTTATGCTCTGTCAAGTATAACAGGATTTCAGCCAAAAACCAGAATGTTCTTTGTTGTTTTCTTAACAGACTTTTGGCATTTTATCATTTTGCTGTTAAAAATTGAATCCATGGAAGTTTTGGGTCTGTCCTGTAGTGTGCTGCTGCCTAAGGAAACAGAGGATTAGTTCCAGTGGGTGAATAGGGTCTGCACCTACATCAGTAAGAGCCAACCTGAACCTGTACTTGTCGACAATTTGTCTAATTTTTACACAGGCGGTGGGATGGGGAACTTAACAATTCACATCATAGATATTAAATCTAGCAACTAGTGTGGGGATTTTTTTGTCTTATTTATAGGTCACCTTTCTCCCAATAAGGGGATTCAAGGCAGCTCACAATGTTAAAAAAATTAGAACTTAAAAACACAAGAAATTATACATTACAAAACAATTTAACTATAATAGCAATTAAAATACACTGAATGATTAAAAACATTCAAATTCTCAACTAAAAACAGCATTCAGAGACTTAGTTATGATTGTTAAAACTGTTAAAAGAGTGCCTGAAGGGATGGATCTTCAGCTGTCAGTGGAAGCATAAAAGGGAGATGGCCAATCTAACTTTCTGAGGGAGAGCATTCCACAAACCTGGAAGCTGCCACAGAGAAGGCCATTTCTTATGTCTCCATCAAATATGCCTGCGCTAGCAATGGGACTGAGAAGAGAGCCTCCTCAGATGATTTTAAGAGCTGTGAAGGCTCATACGGGGAGATACAGTACAGTGGTGCCTCGCTTAACAATGATAATTGGTTCCAAAAAAATCGCTGTTAAGCGATTTCATCGCTAAGCGAAACACGGTTTCCCACAGAAATGCACTGAAAACTGGATAATTGGAAAATTGGAACGGATTGCTGTCCTTAAGCGAAAATCACCATAGGAAACATAGCTAAGCGAAACACGGTTCCCCAATTGAAATGCGTTGAAACCTATTCAATGCATCTCAATGGGGAAAAAAAATTACAACAAATTTAAAGAGTCGGAACAAAGTCAAATTAGTTTAACAAAGGGTTTATTAAGTGCACTTATGATTTCAAGCATTCTAAACATTTTTTAAACATCTTTAAACATTTAAAAAACAGCCAACATGAGGCTGTCAAAACAGGGGGACCCAAACTGTCATCGCTATGCGAAGCGTGGTCCCAAACATCGCTATGCGAAAATCGCCCACAGGAACCACCATTAAACGGAGCGCAGATCGCTCTGAAAAAGTCATCACTAAGCGATTTCATCGTTAAACGAAGCAATCGCTAAGCAAGGCACAACTGTACTTCAGGTAGCCTGGACTAAAGCCATATAAGGCACTTCAGTTTGGGCCGAAAAATGGACTGGTAGCTGGTGCAGTTGGTGAAGTAGGGGGCCAAAGCTCAAAAATATCTGGAGGGCCTCAGTTATCCACTCCTGCTTTCTATAGAACACGAATTACAGATTAGGAACATCCAAATTCACTGTGAGACCAGGGGTGAGAGGGAGGAAGCTCTCGATGGAATGCCGTCCCTCCCAAAGACAGAAAGGGAGACACAAACCCAGTTCTTCTAGGTACCCACACCTAGAAGAACTGAACAAGGAACTGATACCCAGGATTTGGAAAGAGGATTGTGCAGGTTAACGGTAGCCGTTCAAACCCCGGACAAATTGGGGTGGAAAAAGAGGGTGGAGATTGAGGCAGGGACAGCAGATATAAAGAACAAGGAAGACCCCATACCAGGAGGTTGGGAGATGGTATGGGTGCAAGACCCATGGACTGGAAAGTGGGATAGAGTGCGAGTGACTAGGAAAGAGGCTGACTACTGCTGCCGAAAGGGGATCCCACAAAGACCTTCATATTGGGGTGAGTCAGAAGCCCAAGAGCAGTGGAGAAAGTTGAGAAAGGAAAGGGAAATTGTGGAGAGAGAGGAAAGGGAGTGCCTGGCATGGCGAGTGGAGGAAGCAAGGAGGAGGGGATTCCAGATAGACCCTGGACCACCTTCTGTATGACTCAGAACGCCAGATGGGTTAACCCGACCAAAAATGAGACCACCTCCCTTCTCGATGGAGAGAGCCGAGAGGTTCTGAAGGAAGAGGGTGTATTGGCTTGGTCAGGACCTTGGAACAGTAATGACTCAAACCCATGTTTGAGTGATGCATGGGCACCCTTGTCAGACCAGTTGGCGACAGGAGACAAGTTATGGAACAATGAGTTGGACAATAACTTTCTGTTGAATACTCCAATAAACCTTTCCCCTGGTTCAAATTTGAAAGAGACTTGTAATTTTGTTGTGGAGAGCAATGTTTCAAAAATTGAACTCTCACATTCACGCACAGGAAATTTAGCACAAAGTGAGCAGAAGCACATACGAAGCTCTCATAACTCCACAAACACATCAGATGCAGAGTATGAAGATGGGACAGATAACACTTAATAAATGAATAATCTGGAGATTTTCTTCAGGAAACAAGTACAATAGTCCATATACAATTTAACTTTATTGTGGTTAAGGATGGGCCATTTGTGCCTAAATGACAAATGAAAAATATGAAAGAAGCTCTCTTTTATGTAACTCATGTTCTTTTGGTGATTACTGAAAGAGAGCCTCTAAAACATAGATTATTTGAGTTTACTACAGAGAAGTACATGAAGTTTCATTTTTCTTCCATGTTCCCTCTTTTGTGTAACCTTTCAGCATTCTTTCACCCACTCTGTCAAATCACTTGAGAATTTTTCATCCAATAGCAAGTATCACATGGGCTCTCAGCAATCAGTCAGAACATCTAGGGAAGCAGGAATTTTGACTCAGTAAAAAGTGAGGATACTCTTTGCTTCAGTCAGTCTCTGTGGGATTACTGCACACTCCTAGTACCTTTCATCCTTTATTGCTGCCTGCCTTTTGACCTTTAAAGTCTGACGCTTTACGAGCACCAGCATACAGCGTTCTGACATGCAGATACTGAATGATTTGAAAAAAAGCCTATAGATTTGCCCCACAGCATACATTTACTCTCCATGCAGGACAACTTTTGTTGTTTGCATAGAACTCAATTTTTTTGGCACTTTAGAATGAAAATTCATCTGTAAAATGTGTCAATCTTCTTCTGAGCATAATCTAAATTATATATAACCTGTGATGAATTACTTCTCCCTACCCACTTCTTGTCTTTTAACTCTACTGTTTCTGAGTAAAAAGCTGAATCAGCCAAGGTGGTACTATTTTATATGCTTTTATTTAATCTATATTTTATATACAGCAAAACTAACACTCCAGAAGAATAAAAACTTATGATCACAAAAATACAGTCAGAAGAACATATTTTAGCCACATTCTAAAATTCAGTGACTATAATTAACAGCCATAAGAAGTTATAACATTGATACATATCAAAAATTGTACAAGGAACTTTTCTTACCCCAAAGAATTAAACCAGCCAGCAGAAATTATTTAGTTTTTGTCCAAATTGCTCTTTCTAGTTCTTTCTCCTATAGCCCTCTATATCTAATTCAGCTACTTTTATTCAATGCTATTAACATATTACATTTTACTTTGTCTGTGCTTTTATTATTTCTTTAACTAATTGGTGAGGTTCTGTCCTTAAAACTAATCATTCTACTGCTTTCAAGCATTTTCAGTCTGTTGCCAAGGTACTGAATACAGTATCTAAAATATAACCTATCCAATTAACTTTGAAACTAGAAATATAAAACTTTACTTTTGACATGTGTTATAAAAATGATTATTAGCTTGATTTTAAAGAAACACACAAAAGCATATATCCCATCAGAGCACTCATAATGAGTAAAAGAAACATTCTTTTTTCTCATTTTAACTGCTACTAGTGAGACATTTGTATTTATTATCTGCCAATGTGCTTTAAAGACAATTTTAGTAAAAAAAATCCTTGCAGATGTGATTTTTTAACAAGCATTTCTGTCTGCTGAGAAGCACAAAATCAAAAACATTACATGTCATTGTTTTAAGTTCCTTGTGAAAACCTAATCACTTGTAAACAGGTATGTAGCAATCAATTTTCAATGCTTTTCACAAACAGGATATTATTAACTTTAACATTCCTGCTGTGCCTCCATCTTGAATCCTTTCTTCTTTTTTTCCCCCTTGATTTTTCTGGGGATTTTTTCCTTTATCTATTTGGGCTATTTTTGTTTCTGCCAGCTGGAAAGAAAAAAGTAGGCATTAAGTGGCCTGGGGCAGAGAACTCTCCCCGTATGCTACTAGTTTTAGTTGTGGGGGGCTTTGATTTTGTGTGTGTGTTTAATTGCTTCCTTCTTTTCTTTTCTTGGTTTTGGAGAGGGGAGTTATATGTATGGCTTTTTAAAATTTTGCTATATTTTGGGTATGTAGGTGCTTTCCCTGTTTGTTTGATTTTTTAAAAAATTATTATATATAATTTACTGTGTATTTATTCTGTTACAAGTGTATAATTTGGTGGGGTTTGGGGGAACTGTTTGTCTGCTTCTGTAGGACGGACTACGGACTTTGTGACTGTGCCAATATGCCACTGGACTCTGCAGATGCCTGCATAAGTCCAGTGATGAATTTTCTTTCTCATATAGTGTCATCTGATTTTGGAGCAGATTGATTCTTTGTTGCCTAGCATTTTTTTGAAGTAGTTTTAAGGGTTTTTTAGGCATTTGGAATATCAGAAAACACAAATAGTGAAACATGAATGGGAAAGCTTCCCCCCCCCATTTACAAAAAAGGATCAGTACACAAACAGTACAAAAATGAAAGAAGCATTCCCCAAAGGAACCAGAAACAGAAATATGAAAAATTTTGCAGTACACATCCCTAATTGTGCTTTAAGTATTAATAAATGTACCTCCATACATCACTTCCTTTAGAGAACATGGATGATCGGATAACCTCAGGAGCCATCCAAGCGTATGTCCCAGCTGCACTCATTTTGGTTGTTTTATGCCATTCTCTGGCCAAGCCAAAATCTGTAATCTTCAAGTTCTTATTATTCAGATCCCCATTTTCCACCTTCTCAAGTATCAATACTGGAAAAGGGGGGGGGGAATAATACAATCTGGTGAAAATACAATTAATATTACATTTCCAAAAAGAAAAATTCTTCAGTTCAAATCTAACAGGTACAGTTCATTCTATATCATAGAAATCAAGGAAATTCAGACCACAGATCAACCTGCCAATCCTAACATAAACTAGAGACATTCTTGTACCTTCTGACTCAAGTAAACACAAGAGACAAGCTCCACTGTTCAGTTCCCCAAAGAGAAACAGCAGCTGAATATCCAAGACTAAGCCCACGGAAAATAACAAAATGTCTTTATCCCAAATTCATATTAATTGGATGGGGGGGTTGGGAGTGACAGGGTAGGAATGCTTTGCAAATCTGATGTTTATAGATATTATTAAAGAGTTTCAGTTTTTCTTGTAATTAGTGATGTGCTGTATACTGGGGGCGGGGTTGCGAGTATAACATGGGGATTTCAGGAATATAACACCTAGAACATGCAGGGCACCATAGATGAAAAGAAGAACATAAGAAAATCATGTTGGATCAGACCAAAACCTGATCTAGTTTAGTATTCTTTTCCCACAATAGCCACATGGATACCTATGGGAAGTTCACAAGACAGGCATGAACAAGAAAGCATCATTTTCCTTAAGTTCCTTATGCCCAGCTGTCATCCCTGTTAAATTCCATTCTATTGTATTCAGCCCAGGGCTCAAGCCTCTCAACACCTTTATGAATTTTGTTCCTGCTTTCCAAGGTATTAGCTATCCCACCCAGTGTTGTGTCATCTGCAAATCTGATAAGTATTCCCTGCACTCCTTCATCCAAGTCATTAATAAAAATGTTTAAGAGCACTGGGCCCAAGATTGAGCACTGTGGTACCCCATTTATTACCTCCTCCCTTATAACAAACTCACCAATTAAACACAGTCAAATTGTACCCTAAATTCTTCCCAAGTCTGTATGATAGAATTAGCTGCATCCAAGTTGAAATGGGCATGAGTAATTTTATCCATTAAATGTTTAGCAAATGTCTTATGTCTGATGAAGTGCATTTGTCCATGAAAGCTAACATTAAAAAATATATAAAAGTTAGTCTTTATGCTATCACCATGAGTTTGTCTTTTTTTACTTGTTATTTATATTTTGCTTTTACCAGTAATACTTGTACAGATTAGCACAGCTACCCCTTCTACAAATGTATTGCAGTAGGCTGAAGACAGATTCACCTTAAACATTCAGAAAAGTTCCACTGGACAGCATTCCAAAGACAGTTTCTTCTTTACCCCAACTTTGACTCAGAGTACATTCAATAATACAGTCTGACTTATGCTTTGCGATATTCACGTAACATGTTATGCCACTTTCCTAACAGCTTTGTAGTCCTAAGGTTACTGATAATGGAGACAACCACTCCTTGAAGTACAGTAGGGATTCAGCAATATTTTACTTGAGCACCAGGTCAAAGGATAATACAGTGGTGCCTCGCATAGCGACGATAATCAGTGCAGCAAAAATCGCTGCAAAGCGATTTCATCGCTATGCGATATTAAAAAGCCCATAGGAATGCATTGAAACCCCTTCAATGCATTCCTATGGGCTTCAGACTCACCTTTAAGCGAAAATCCTCCATACGGCGGCCATTTTCGCTGCCCGGTAAACGAGGAATCCATCCCAGAAAACAGCAGGCGGCCATTTTTTTTACCCGGTGGCCATTTTGGAACCGCGATCAGCTGTTAAAAAATCATTGCTTTGCGATGATTGGTAAGCGAAACAGGGTACCGATCAACGCAAAGCAATTTTCCCCCATTTAAAACATCGCAATGCAATTGCAAAAGCGATCGCAAAAAGTTAATCGCTATGCGATTTCGTCATTAAACGGGGCACCCGTTAAGCGAGGCACCACTGTATATCATTCATCTGTCAAATTCTAGTTGCTTTTGTTAGGCATGCATTTGACCTCTCAGCTTAAGATATTCACAACAGGAATCTGTCTGACAGCTTCAAAATTCCACACCCTGAAAATAATAATTTTAATTAGTACCCTGTAAATACACTGCACTGGAACTCAATATACTATCATCTGTAGAGCTAAAAGGAAGCTTAAATACTGGCAGCAAAACAGCTGACTCATCAGGTATATGACTTCCATCAGAAGTCTCCCAATTATCCTGTTTTAAATATGTAGGATATATTGGAGAAGAATCATGGCAATTCTGATCTTGTCAGGCAATAATGTTGGAGCCTAAAGGAGGTTGGAAAGTGTCTCAACACAGGATACACCTAACAGCCACATCTTTATTTGCCTGAATGTGATTACTTTGGTAGTAAACTTCCACTTTCTAGTTACTTCTGTGGAGATTATTTTTGTTGCACAAAGCTTTCAACTGAGTAAAGTCCTACAAATGAGGGGAAAAAACTGTGTTGTTACATGCTCCAAGGCAAAAGTAGGTGATACCTCTATTAGACCACTGAAATTGTAAACAGACCTTCCATGCCAGATTTCAAATGAGGGCTGCAACATTAAGCAGACGTGTTCACCTCTGCAGTGTTAACTGAATTGTCCAAAGCTCACCAACAGAAAGCTGCCAACTGCTTGCATTTCACCACATATTGCTTTACACTGAAATTAAAGTTCCTTTCCTTTGGCTGGAGACTGATGTGGCATAGAAAGGTGCAGATAAGCTGGTATACGTTGTTGGACTATGAAAGATATGAACTGTCCATGGCACTATCTGCAACAAAGGCAAGCAAGACTTCCAACTGAGGACAACATCCTTCTCTAACCACTAGGTAATACTATTAATTTGATTGTAACTGGCTTGCCTAGTGGGTAAAACAAATTTTATCTCAACTTCTCTTATGTGACATTTCCCACATTTCTACATCACTCCAATCGCCAGCCAAAGAAAAAGACCCTCTAGTTCAATGTAAAACAATAGTGGGAACGAATGCTGAGTGGACGGCAGCCTTCCATTTGGTGAGTTTGCCAGGGATGGAATTTTAAATTAACACTCCGAGTTTGACTCTGCTATCCTCATTTTGAAACTGGCATAGGTCATGGTCACACCAGGGAAATGTTCCCCATTTCTAATGATACTTTCCATACCTCTCTGTTGTGCCGCATCGTAGTCACGTGTTACATATACCTGGATGAGCATCCCAATATGTTTTAATGTTACAAATTCATTTTCTTCAATATGAATCATTATTGCTGGCTATACCCTGCTACCAATTTATTTTCTCTTTTGTTTTATGGGGCACTGCAGCCCCTTAACTTAAATTTTTTAAAAACAGTACACTAATATGCCAGGTACTGTTTCCTGATGGGTAGGTTTTTCCTCTGTTGTGCCAGCACCTCTGGAAGCAATGCATTGCACTCAATGGACCCAGCACCCCCACTCAGGGCTGTTCTGCTTGCCAGAACAGCCCTGTTCTGTATGCTGAGTGATGCGACACCTACCAATGCCTTTAAAGCTCCTGACAGGAGTTTATCAACATATTGACACTATCCACAGATACGTGGTGTCCAGCCTGAAAGAGGGCAATTGTTTCTGAATTTTAATGGTCTAGTAGAGATATCACCTACCTTTACCTTCAAAGATAAAGTATTAGTATGTGGATTAAACTCCAGTCTTGGCAGCCAACTAATCTAGGCCAGGATAAACTTGTTCTTAACTTGATTAAACTAACCCATCCTTGACCTATCACAATCTAAGAACAGAGCTATATAGGTATTACACGTTCATGAAATTATTAGCCTATGGAGGATGCCAAAGACTGTTTTGCTAGCCCAAGTAACAGCATATTCATACTTAAAAATTGAAAGGAGAAAATACTTCCAAGCTATTTCCCCCTACTTGACAGTAGCATTTACTTGCTACAGGTGACCACACAAAGTACTATTTATAAGCCTAAGCCACATCTTCAGAAGCAAATAGGCTGCAAATCCAACTTAAAACTTTTCTGCTGCAAAAGATTACAGGAAGGGAATAATTTACAGAAAGCAGACAAGCGGTGATTAAGATTCACTCTCACCACTCAACAGGTCTAGTACCATGTGATATTCCAAGATCTAGATTAGTGGCTCAAACAATTAGTAAAGCATTTTCCCCAAGTCAATTATTTCTTTAGGAAAACTTTACTCTCTTCTAAGGCTTCATAAAGAAAACAAAATTTTAAAATGAAACATTAAGCCTTGAAAAAATTTAAAATGCACCAGTAGCTCACCTCCCTGTCAATGAAGTACATAAACAGAAATTAGTAAACTAATTAAATAGCTTTCATTGACAAACCAGAGGTTCACTAAGACAAAGAGACAAAAGGGACTGCACCTGATAAAGTCTCCTTGCCTAACTCAAGTGGGCATGCAAGAATGAATACCAAGGCACTGCTAAGGCAAAGTTCTTCCCAAGGTCAGGGAGATTTAACACACATTGACAGCCAGCATCTCACTAATTATGTTGCAAACTGACAGAGGGCAGATTGCTAAGAGGTTTATTCTGGTTTTGTTTTGTTTTTAATTAGTTACACCTTGGCTATGACAGAGACATTTTCTTGATGGTTAACAAATTTTGCTTCCTGTACTAACACTCCCAGAAATTTTAACAAATTGATGTTGCACATTACAGATCAGAGCAATGAACATCAATTTTAGCAATACCTATCTTATACTTACTTCTATGAGATCTTTTCTTGACACCCACTACTTAAGAATGTATCTTATCCTTCTGTAAGCAAGCAAGCATTAACTTCATCTTCAGGTCTCTATTTGTGTATTATTGTATAGCTATTACAGATAAAATCATTGTTAAAAGATCACAGACACTGGAGCTGTAAGGAATTCTTGTTCATGTTAATTATTTTCTGTGTAGATGTTTTCTAGCTGAACTGTACCAAATACAGCAGCTACAACATTTTAAATTTAACCTTTAACCAAATTTACAAAATTACAGTGCCAAATCCACATACATTTTCCAATGATTTTCCCCATTTATTTCATGTCAACTATTCCTTTCATTTTCCCTGCTATTTATACATATGTTTTATTGTCTTATACATATAGCATGGCAGGAAAAGGTGGAGAGATAAAATCAGAATGAGAATATTTCCTTTCTTCACCACTATGCATTTACTATATTTGTTCACCCAGCACTCTCACAAAGCTATTCAGGCTTGTCCTGTGCCTATTCAGTTTCATATGTGTTTGCTTTCTCTTTCACAAGTCTAGTATATCATATTTTTCTCTATATAGGACTATACTTTTGTCTAAAAATTTTAGACTAAAAATTGAAGGTTTTCTTATACAGGGAAGTAATATGAGGAGAGTACAAAAACAAGTGGAGGGGAAAGCAGGGATCAAATTGTTCCTGCAGGGCTTTGAACCCTCCTTTCCCTTCCACTTGCTAAGTCCCATAGGGCTTAACAAAAGGAAGGGGAAAGAATCAAAGCAATCCCATGGCTGTATGAGGGGGAAATGGATAAAAATGATTGTGCATTTGCAGGATTGCTTTGATTCCTTTCCCCCTCCTTTTGCTAAGTCCCACGGGGCTTAGCATGAAGGGAGAAAGCAGGGATCAAAGCAATCCTGCAGCGTTTTGATCCCTTTCCCCCTACACTTGCTCAGCCCCACTTAGATTTCTTAATTTTGGGTTAGAAAAGTTGGGTGGGGGGTCTTATTAAACATGGGGGCTTCTTATACATGGAAAAATACACTACATGATATTTCCATAAACTGGTGTTTAAAAAATAGAAAAAACTATTTAAATCTCATAATGTTAGTGTATACATATATCTATCCCTGAACAGGTCCACTGAATGTGACCTTCATCCCTCTTTATAACCTTTATTTTGAAAGCAATTGCAAATATTTACAAATATTTACAAATAATATCAGACTTACCCATACATTACTACAATGGAAAATAAATATCCATCTTACTCCCCTACTTCTGACAGTACTGAAAAGACTAAATTGCTGGGGCAGACATCTACTTGCATCTTCTTAAGGTAACTAAATGCTGAAGAAGGCTGTGTATGTAGTTCTATCCATGTGGCAATGGAAGACACTGATATTTGTTCCAGACTAATCAGACAAGTAGTATGTGGCAAGTCTGGCTTTAAGGTGTAAAGCATTTATAGCTCATAGAAATCTTCATATCTGGACTCATTTGAGTTATTCTGAATATCATACAGGACTGACGTACTATGCTCTCAAGAAAAGAAAAAGAGAAAATTTGTATTGGCTACAATCCAAGGAAGCAGTGACCATTAATCTTCATTCTCTCCTTAACTCTGTAATGTAGTTAAAGTTTCCCCTCATGTGACAAAAAAATAGGAATATGTACTAGAGAAAAAAAGACCACAAAAAAAGGAAAAACAGACGTTTCTGTTGGCAAAAACTCTAAGACAATGTCACAAAGTTGATTTTCTTTCACCAGGTTATTAATCCATTAGCAGTTACTTATAAGCAGGTATCAATGGAAAATTAGACCTCTATTTTCTTCCTTTTACCCCATTCCTTTTTGGTCTCAAGTTTATATGGCTAGAATACATTTCAAGTTACTAATATTTTATCAACATTACCAGCCTGGTCATATGCATTTGTTCTCATTGCACACCTATACGACCTAAGAGTACTCTTTATTTCAAATGCTCTGAAAGTCACTAATGTCACACCCCAATACCACCTATATTGTCCACTTACTGTTGCTGGACTTCAGATCCCGGTGGATAATAGGAACAATTGCTTCATTATGCAGGTAGTTCATTCCTCCAGCGATCTGGACAGCCCAATTCACCAGTATGTCTGGTGGGATCCTTTTACCAGACAATACTCTATTTAGTGACCCACCACGGGCAAACTCCATAATTAAGCAAAGATTAGGTTCCTTCAGACATACACCTTTAAGGGCAATTATGTTAGGATGTTTTAACATAGCAAAAAGCTTGGCTTCTTGATGGACATTCTCAACAGTCTCAGTGATGTCTTCATCTGGATCATAGCGGGCTGCCTTGACAGCAACTTCCTCTCCAAGCCACAGTGCACGATAGACCTTCCCAAAGCCTCCTATGCCAATTATTTCCTCCAGAACCAGCTCTGAAAAATTAATCTCCAATACTGGGAAAAGAAAAATGAAGATATATTAGTTTTAACATGTTCACAATATTTAGTGCCAGCATTACTTCACAATTAAAATAACTAAACTGGTTAGCCTTGTAATTAGCAAACACATGTGTAATACATCAATTCATTCCTGTACTATTATCACCCTCAGGAAAACCTGTATCCAATTAGTATCACTGACAGTGTCTCACCTTTATACACAACTCTGCTGCAAGCAAAATATTTTTATTAGTTCTAGCCATAAGATTTCTAGGGTTCCCCTCACCCCCACAGAAAGCACTCTGGGTCAAAAACAAGTTAAGGAGGAAAATAGCAAGAATCCTATTGGTGTTTGTGTAAGGTCTGCATAATTTGCCATTGACAATTGTGGCTAGGTCAGGGCTTTTCTTGATCATATGACTTGCCACCTGCCCAGTTTAGCATCTGAGATATCTTTGAACATCAATTAGTTACGGTTAGGCATGGCAAGTTATACAAACTGATCAATATAAACAAAGCATGAACAAAGGTTTCATCAGAAAAGCAGATACAAACATATTGAGATTCCATAAGCAAAGATTTTAGTTTTAAAAGAGGTAGCCATATTAGTCTGTGCAACCATATCAGGCAAAATCTAAAGAAACAAAACAAAAAGGCGAAAACATGTGGCACCTTAAGACTATTATATTTTAATGTGAGCTTTCATGGACAAGTCCGCTTCATCAGATCATATGTCTGACGAAATGGACTTGTCCACAAAAGCTTACATTGTAATATAATAGTTTTAAAGTGCCATATGTTTTTGTCTCTCTTTTTTTGTTTTTCCGTTTTTTTTCCTTTGGGCTTTGCATAATAAGCAAAGGTTTTATCATCTAGCTTTACCTATTGTTGGAAAAATTAAGAATATGTTTCAGAAATTCATATGCAAAGACGGCAACATGGTGAACAGCACACACACAAACATGTATATATAAACAAATGTTTACAGCACAGTAAAACATCCTTTGTCATTTCTGTTAGCCAAATTGATAGTGTGAGAGACAAGAAACATTTTTTAAAAAATCTAACAAACATCTTAAGCATAGACAACCAGTTCCCATTATCCATATTCCATTTATTTATATTTTAGCATATTCAGTCATCCAAAAGTGAATGCTAGTTACATATTTTATCCACAGTTGTGCATGCTAAGATCACTGGAAGATTAGACTACTACTGTATGTTGTGCTCTCATCACTGATGCAATTTGCTTCAAAATCTTTGCATTACATATATAAATCACTATTATCATTTTCCCAGCACAATTAACAATAAGAACACTGTCTTCTAATGAGAATGTCATAAATATGCAACTGATAATAAAAATGCGGCTTAACTGATGCTATCATATAATTCAAAAAAAGCACTAAAGCAAATACTAATAAACTCCATAAAAAGCTCTTAAGGAAGAAGGGACGATAGCATACTAGGATGGAAGGTATAACAATGAGAAGTGCAACATGAACAGTACTGATCTCCTTCAGATGGGAGGTAAATGATATTGAATTAATCTTCTTTCAGTCCATCAACAGCAAGAATTACTACTACTGCAATGATGCAAAAAACAAAAGACAAAAACGCACTCCCAAATCCTGAATTCTAAGAGCAAACCCATATAGTAATTTTGTGTTAAAGAAGAGCAGGAAATATGTACTAATGTCCCCAAATATTCTTGGTATCTGATGATATTTCTACATTTACCTCTGCGCCAAGGAAAAATAAGTTCAAATGTGTCATACAGACAGTAAGAATTATATATCTACTGTAACTTTCTCTAGAAAAATATCAAAATTATATAATACATCAAAGTTCTTTGCTGAACCTTTTCAACAGAAGTGTAGGACTCTATTAACATCAATATAGCTTTGATATATCATACAGCACACAAACATTTCTTCTGGATATCAGTGGGGAACTAAATTTTTGAACCAAAGGTGCTGAATGGACAGCTCTGTTGGTGATACTTTTCAAGGAAGTTTCAAACAGGGAACTGCAGTTTTTTCATAGATCTGACTCTTACTATATAAAAAAGCTTCCAAGTGGTGATTTATATAAGATAAAAAACTAGTTTAAGAGAAAAAGAACCCTGGCTAAAGGTTTAGATATTACAATTTCAGGCCCTGCTTTAACTTTTTTGCCACATAAGTAGTAAAAATATCCTGTGGTTTCACTGATTCATTTCCAATTGAAGGCTTCTCCACCCACTTCTCTTGTTGGCTCCTAGCTTCTGTTACCCACCCTGAAATACAGTTGATCTTACAGCCATATAACAGCCAGGTTTTGAAGAAGCAAATGCTGGAAATGTACCTTCATGACAAAAAGAATGGGAAAGAATAATCACTTTTGGTGTACAAACATCCAGTCTAGAAAGTGACTGCATGAATAAACATGTCTATGTGTCTGTTGCTTTAGTATAGTCTAAAGACTTGGTAACTGCTGTGTTTTCATTTTAATCAGTACATTAACCAAGTACAGAGTTAAATACCCTTGCTTTTCTGTCTCTAGAACAGATAGACAGAACCTGAAAACCAAGCATCTTTCTGTAGCTCAGAAGGATTTTTTTGTATGAGCAAAGAGCAGCAGACATTATTATCAAGGCTACAATGCGCTGGGTACATAAAAATCATAGTTTAAGTAAAGAGAAGAAGGAATTTCAAATGCTATAAAAAGAGGTACTACATCTTGACCTTCAACAGGGCAAATAATAACACCATAAATAATGGTAATTAATTATGAACCATCAAATTGATTGAAACTGATTGAAACTTTCCAGGGTTTTCTATGCATAGGACACTGTATAGTTTGTGCATGGCTACAGAGGCTGGCTTCCAGGAGGCACAGTGGGGAATTGAACTCCCAATCTCTGACTCCACAGCCAGATACCGAAACCATTGCCAGCAACTACTTACATACTTTTAATCAAATGGTGAACAGAGCCAACATCACATCTAAAACCAGGCTAAACCATCTACCTCTGTATTTTACAGGTGAGAATGCTGCATGCACAACTTGTGAGATGGGACTTGTACTACAAAGTTGTATGTGTACCTCTATGGTTTATAGCAGAATTGTTCTGTAATTGTTCTGTGTCTAGCACAGAACAGAGAGTCCTGTATGCAGTTCAATAGTGATAAGAATTACTATACGTGCTTGAGTCCAACAGCTGCACTGATGCAAAATATATCTATCTTCTCACAGCAAAGCATGTTGGCTCCTGGGTCCTTCTTCACTAGAAGGTCAATATCCTGTAGCCCAATGGTTATCAATCCAGATGTACAGTACTTGGACTGCAGCTCCCAGAATCCTCCATCACTAGCTGTGCTGGCTGGTGTTTTTTGGGAGCTGAAGTCTAAGAACACATGGGTTACCTGAGGCTGGGAATCACTACTGTGGCCAACACTTTCAGGACTGTGGAGCAGCAGCCTTCTCTTCTGCTTTTCTTTCTAAAGGGAAAATTTGCTTTCCTTTAATTTTTGCACCCTTCCTTTATTCATGCTACCTTTTAATATCTAAATATTTGATACAGTAAAAAAAATGCAGAATTAAATCCTCCTCATCCAAAATAAACCTTGAAAAAATCCCAAATCTTTCAGTCTCTTGCAGACATCTTGATTTGGGCAACAAAATACATGAATATTCCTGATATGCTTATGCCAGAACTATCAGCATCCACCTCCCAGAATGGTAGGATATTTGGAAATTGAGCCCTATGGAGGGTCAAGGGACCTTGGCATGTTCAACCTGGAGGACAAAAGAATGAGAGATGATATGATAACTATCTTCAGGTATCTGAGGGACTATCATATGGAGAAGAAGTGGACTTCTTTTTTGCAGCTCTAGAGCAGCAGTTCCCAACCTTTTGTTGGGGGTGGTGCAGGCTCCATGCATGGGGGGTGTTGCACTCACACCCCTGCACGTGAGTGCAACATGCCCCCTATGTGAGCACGACACACCCACCGTGTATGTGTGTGGGAGTTCTGTCTCCGCTGCCCCCGGGCCACGGACTGGGGGTTGGAGACTCCTGTTCTAAAGGATACAAATAGAAGTAAGAGATTCAAGTTACAAGAAAATATTTTTCAAATGAACATTAGGAACAACTTTATAACAGCAGGAGACCTTCCACAATGGAACTAACTGCCTTGAAAGGTGGTGGGCTCTCCTTCACTGGAGGTTTTTAAGGAGTGGTTGGATGGTCATTTGTCAGAAATGCTTTAAGGTGTGGATTTCTTCATTAGCAGGAGGTTGGCCGTAATGACTGAGGTCCCTTCGAGCCCTACAGTACCATGATTGCAATTGCATGCAAGAAAATAAAGGTGCAGACTTGTAGCATGTCTTGATATGTATAGTTGCACAGTTGGAGAGAAAATACTGTCTATTTTTAGTAGCCAAACTCTGTTCCTTAGAGCAGTAAATTGACCTAGGGGAGGCCATAGTATATGCAGAATACATCATGTGAAAGGCTGAACTGGAGGAATCCCAAAATGGAATTAAGATTGCTTGAATAAATATCAACAACCTCACATATGCAGATGATACCACTCTGATGGAAGAAAGTGAAGAGGAATTAAAGAACCTCTTAATGAAGGTGAAAGAGGAGAGCGCAAAAAAATGGTCTGAAGCATCCAAAAAAACTAAGATCATGGCCACTGGTCCTATCACCTTCTGGCAAATAGAAAGGGAAGATATGGAGGCAGTGACCGATTTTACTTTCTTGGGCTCCATGATCACTGCAGGTGGTGACAGCAGCCACAAAATGAAAAGATGCCTGCTTAAGACATCAGACATCACCTTGCCGACAAAGGTCCGCATAGTCAAAGCTATGGTTTTTTCCAGTAGTGATGTATGGAAGTGAGAGCTGGACCATAAAGAAAGCTCACCACCAAAGAATTTATGCTTTTGAATTGTTCTCCTGGAGGAGACTCTTAAGAGTCCCCTAGACCAGTGGTCCTCAACCTTGGGCCTCCAGATCTTCTTGGACTTCAACTCCCAGAAATCCTGGCCAGCAGAGGTGGTGGAGAAGGCTTCTGGGAGTTATAGTCCAAGAACATCTGGAGGCCCAAGGTTGGGGACCACTGCCCTAGACTGCAAGGAGAACAAACCTTTCCATTCTAAAGGAAATCAACCCTGAGTGCTCACTGGAAGGACAGATCCGGAAGCTGAGGCTCCAATACTTTGGCCCTCTCATGGGAAAAGAAGACTCCCTGGAAAAGCCCCTGATGGTGGGAAAGTGTGAAGGCAAGAGGAGAAGGGGATGACAGAGGATGAGATGGTTGGACAGTGTCATCAAAGCTATGAACATGAATCTGACCAAACTCCGGGAGGTAGTGGAAGACAGGAGGGCCTTGCATGTTCTGGTCCATGGGGTCACAAAGAGTCGGACACGACTCAACGACTAAACAACAAAAACAGGAGGCAGTGGAAGACAGGAGAACCTGGCGTGCTCTGGTCCTGTGGTCACAAAGAGTCGGACATGACTTAACGACTAAACAACAGGCTCATTCAATCAATAAGCATTTGGTGTGTCAACATCTTCACTATTCCACTGATTCAAATGGGTCTAATCGAAATGAAATATACTGTAGCACAATAAGCCACAGTTCATTTGAATCAATGGAATCTATGGAGTAACTGACTCACTAAATTCCCATGGACTCAATAGGTCTACTATAGTGCAATTTACTATGCTAAACAACAGTACTTTGGGCAGTGTAACTGTATTCTTGTGAAGGAGTAACGAGGAGTGCGCCGTCCTCCGAGGAAAGAAGTACAGTAGAAGAGGCGGAATGCGCTGTAAGGGTGTTAACTGACATTGAGCAAACAGAAGTGGTAACTGAGAAGCCGACGGAGGTGTGTCTTGTAGAGGAAGGAGGGGAGGAGTTAGATCTGATAGTCTGGGAAGATATAAAAGAGGGGGGAAATGCGCGGGCTTTTAGAATTTGTACCGACTTGAATCCAGAAAGAAGTAAGAGCCGAGGGGTTCAGACGGAACCCATGCTTGGGTTCGAGACTCCAGTCGGAACTGCGGCGGGCTTCCCTAATCTGGCTACCGGAGGAGGACTACTACCAGATCCTAACTTCCCCAGAGGGCCAGGGAAGTTTTATGAGCCCCTAGAATGGACGGTAACGGTGCATCCGCGAAACTACCCTGGTGGGAGGAGGGTAATACGCCCTGGACCCGAGTTTCAGAAGAAACCTCCAGAGGGAGATTGGGCGAGGCACCCTTGTTGCGGAACGGTCTGTGCCGTCCGGAGTGCCCCCCTTCGTCCAATGACCGATCGCGAGAAATTCAGACCGGCCCCTTACTAGGTGACCAAGAAATGCCTCCGGTTATACGTTCAAAGAGATACCATTTGTTAGACGATTGTATGTTGCAGGATCCGTTTGATCCACAAGAACTGAATGTTGTAAACAATAAAACCACCAATGTTAGATTTTACGATGAGCCTCCGTGTCTCTTTCCTGCCTTCACCACCAGTGCCCCCCCCCCCGGCTAGAGAAGAACTTCCTTACAATTCCGCACTCTCAATTTCCATTAAGTAACAAGACAATGTACTAATTAATCATGTGCCATCAAGTCAATTCTGAATTATGGCAACCCTTTCTTTGTCTTCCAGGCAGAAGTGGTTTACCACCTTCTTGCCTTGGACAGTCTTGAGGTGGGGGGTATGCAGCACAACCTCATTCAAGAACCACCTTCTTCTGGGGGCAACCTGGGATTGTGCAGCTTGCCCAAGGCTGCACAAGCTGGCTCTACCACACAAACCTTTCTGCAACAAAAGCAGCATAATAATCACCAGGTTCAATACAGTCATCCAGTTATCAATCCAAATCATCTTACATGTTGGTTCAATCTATAATCTATCAAAATTGAGACTACAGCCAAGAAATCAGAAGACTAAAAGCTGGAATGGCGTTTATAAAAGAATTAGAAAAGACTCTGAAGTACAGTACAGTATAAGGATGCATCAATGGAAACCAAGGTTCATTTATAATTTGTTTTTTTTTTTCTGATTACTAACAGATAGATTCCCAGTCTGGTACAGTGGATAGGGTGATGGACTAGGACACTGGAGAACAGGGTTTGAATCCCCACTTGGCCATGGAAACTCACTGGGTGAGTAGAACTGGTAAACCACTCCTTAAATATCTCACTTACATTGAAAGCCCTATTAGGGTAGCTCTATGTTGGTTCCAACTTTACAGCACAAAACACACACACACACAGATATGAAAGATAGAAAATTAAGAAAGCTAACAGTAAAAAATAAATTCATCTGAAATGCAATGTTAAGAAGTATTTACAGACACAAAGACTGCTAGATGAAATCAAGCCTCAACTTTCTCTAGAAGCAAAAAAGATGACTACATTGAGGCTATCACACCTTGGGTATATATGAAAAAACAAGGCTCACTGAATAATATTAGGACAAGTGGAAGTCAGGAGAAGAGATATACTGAACATGAGATGGCTTAACGCATTAAAGGAAATTATTAAAGGGAACCATGGTCCCTGGTTTGCAAGATCTGAGCAAGGCAATTAATGATACCACCTTTTGGAAGTTATTAACTCATAGTGTCACTAACTTGAAGACACATAACAATCAGCTGGCAGATCCAATAAAAAATATTCTAGGACTGACATTCATCTAGTGCAAAGCAGTTTGGTGTCTAATTAGTTCTTCAAGAAACCTACAGGAGAATTTACGCCTGGCAGATCCAATAAAAATATTCTAGGACTGAAAAACATTAATCTGGTGCAAAGCAGTTTGGTGTCTAATTAGTTCTTCAAGAAACCTACAGGAGAATTTACGATTGCCTGCAGGGTTTGTCAGTACTGTACTTTTAGGATCAAGAGAGACAGAAAAAGCAGCCAGGGGATAAACATAGCCATTTCGCCACTCCCCTTTCTTCACTCTCTCCTTCTGGAAGAACCAGACAGCCTTCTGAACCACATAGGCAAGATCATGTCCTTGCAGTCTCATTAAGCTGGGACAACTGCCATCCCTGGGTAAAGTTGCCACACTCGATGGAATGAGTTCAAATTCTACCACCTTAACAAGCAGGGTGTCTTCCCTCCACAAGCTCCCTCAACACAAGGCCCACCTGGTGTTTTCACAGATATGTCCTTGATTTGTCGCCTTGGACAGTCTTGGAGGGGGGGAGGGAGAAGGACGCAGCGCAGCTTCACTCAAGAAACGGTAGCCCAAGGGCGTCAGAGAGCAGATGGACCAGGGGCTCCTTCCACCCAACCCAACCCAACCCAACCCAGCTTCCTCCAAAGGCCCTTCTCCTCTTACGCTGTATGGCCGGGGTCTGCGGGAAGGGGGACCGGATCTCCCCGGCGCTTCCTCGGCGGAGGCAGAGGCGGCGGCGGCTGCTCTCGCTGGTGGTCACGTAGTTACTGGGGAAGATGCCGACGCGCTGGGCGATCTGGCCCGTCCACCATCCTTCGTCGCCGGACACCCGCGAGTCCTGCGAGAGCACCTGCACGACGTCGCCCGGGCGCAGGCTCAGCTCGTCCTCGCCGCACGCCTCGTACTCGAAGACGGCGGTCCAAAGGCCGGCCCCGCCGCCGCCGCCATCATCGGAGGCCGCCGCCACCGCCGCCGCGGGTCCCGCCTTTCCCCAGTCAGGGCTTCTCGCCGCCGCCGCCGCCTCCTCCTCAGCCTCGTCTTCTCCCGGCGGCGGTTGAAGGGGGCGGCGCGGGCTGCGGGCTCCGAAAGGCTCCATGAGGGGAGGAGGAGAGGAGGAGGAGGAAGGAGAAGAGGCAAAAGGGGCAACGGCTCCTCCATAAAGCGGGGAGGCACTGCCCACGGGAGGAGCCGCCTAGCGCTCATACGGCTGCCGCCGGCAGGTAGGTCTCTGAGGAGGCGTCGAAGAGGAGAACGCCGCCACGGCCAGGGCCATTCCGGAGCCTGTGCGGCGGGGCTGCCGGCCAGCCCGGCCTCAGCCACATCGCGCTCAGCCGCCGCCGCCGCCTTCTCCACAGGCTGAGACACCAGCCGTGCATTCTGAGCCACCTGACTGACCGGCAAAGCTGAGGGGAGGGGCAACCACGAAGCTCCGCCTCCTCACTCAATCTCTTTTTTTTCATTCGACGGGACAAGTGTCCTTCAAGCTCCTCCCTTACCTGATTGAAGATCCCTTGACTAGGAGCCGCTCCTCGGAACAATCTCCGCCTCAACTCTTTCTCAGCTGGCTCGCACGCGCTTCAAGTCCCCCTTCCTATTGGTCCGATCCTGCGTCTGCCCCGCCCGTATCTGCCCATTGGCTGGATTGCGTGAGGTAAGACGCTCTTTTTGCTGTAAAGGAAAATTGCCCTTTCCTACAACGATTCTCTCAGCGAGCGCATCGTTTGGATAGTGAGTGAATGGGTGTGACAAGGGGGAGGTTCTCCTTGTTCCCATTGGATGCGTGATTAAGAAGACGAATATTAAGAAAGCTTCTTTGTTTCGCATTGGCTAACTGGAAGAGCCACGTTGGCCAATGGCTGGTCTGTCTTGTATCTAGCATGTCCGTGTGCACCTGCTGGAAAAACCAGAAAAGATGATTGATTTTCTCAACAGCGGGTGCAACTGCGCGAGGTGACTAGTAGGAAAAAAAAGTATGACGTAGACGGTAGGTTTGTGGGTGGTTGATAAATCTCGTCGAGGAAATTTAGTCTGAAGAAAGCGTTAAAAACTAATAATATCACCTAATAGGTTGTGAGGAAATCTGTTGTAGGAAAGATTTCATGGTAAAAAGCAGGACAGTTGTCATGGTAAGATCTCCAGCCGTTGTTTTTACAGTATGACCTCTTCCATCGATGTTACAATAAATGTCTGTTCTTGGAAATCTAATACTTTTAATTTATGAATGGGTACGTTATTCATCCAAGCAGATGAGGATACCTTGTCAAAATGTAGGATAAGGTGCGGTCCTCTAACAAGAGACTACTTGCACACTCTGTTGTCTCCTTTTTCTCCTCTAGCTCACAGGCCCCCAAGACTAGACTACCGTTGTGGATAGTCTGTGCCCTACAGGTGTTAATTCCTGTCCTCTTTCCTTTCTCTCTCTCTTTATTTGATTTATTTTTTATTTTTCCCATTGCAAAATCATTTAATTAATTAATTGTTATAATTTTTTTTGAACTTGTTATGTTTTATGTTGTAAGCCACCTAGAGTGGTCGAAATGACTAAATAGGCGGGGTATAAATACAACAAATAAATAAAAAAATAAAATAAACCCACAACAACCACTAAGAGATGTAATTTGTCAGTAAATCATGAGCTGGTAAAGACATCTTTTTGTAAATAGTGTAAATACCCACTGAGAGGGACAGGTCAATTAGGAGGACTTGACCCTGAATCAATGGCACTGTCTATACAGGGAAGAGTAATTTCATAGGCTACATCAGCTGATCTGAGACATCAGGCAGTTGCAGCTGAAGTTGTGCAAGCCCTAGTGCACTCAGTTACCAGGTGTTAGCTGACTACCCATTACTATATGGGTGGAGAAACATTGTAAATAGTTCCCAATAAACATTGTGTTTCGGTGTTTGGGCACTGACTTGGAGCTTCTTTTCAAAGAATGGATGATTAAGGAATGTCTTTTGTGATCCCTATCCCTCAGGTTGGAGCACATCCTCACACCCTCCCAGTGAATCCTATGTGCATGTTAAGTGCCACATAGGAAGACTCAATCCTGATGGAAATTATAAGCCAGGCCGGAGTCTTAAAATGCTGTGGAGCCAGGTTCCCACACACTCAGCCCTCTACTGGTTGGATGATTTCAAAAAGCATGGCCACTCCTGGTGCTTCAGTCAGGAATCATGCTTTACCCCCTCCCAGCTCCCATATAAGAGGAAGGAGATGAGAAAGCAAATTTCTTATTTTGCATTAGTTTGATGAACATGTGGACACACAGAAAGAGGATAGGAAAGGAACAGGTAAATGATGAAGGGAAAGAGACAGAGACAGTATTTTAAAATTATAGTTATATCAAGGAAACTATTTCACCTGGCTGCAGAGAGATAATGGAACAGCAACATCATTTTCTCATCTCATAAAAAAGGCATCATTTGTCTTTTCCCTCCTGCAATTGGTTCAGTTTGTAGTCATATAACAACTACTATGTAACTTTAAACTCTGGTGACCATATTTGCTTGTTTAATTCTCTCTCTACTCTTTTTTGCTTTATGTTATTTCTTTCAGACTATAAGACCCTGAGCATGTCCTGATATGTTTTTAATCTGTGTGAAACACATTATAATATTTTAGACAATTTTTAGTAAATTAATTCATACTGAATAAAAGAAGCAGAATCAGTAACTATTTATCTGTTAACATAACTATGTACCTTGAACAATTTCCTATTCCATCACAGTAGGGAATGGAGAAATATAAGAAGATTTCTTCTCCACTTTACCTCTTTACAAAAAAGAGACACTGTAAAATTAGCTATATTAAATTTTGTTTGGTTTTTTGGAACTGTTTGACACGACGGACAGAATGAAGTGCCGCCTGGAGCGAACCACTCAAGACACCGTGAGAGCTCAAACAACATGGGCTGACTTGCCAGATGACCAGGAGGATGAGGGAAACGACGATCCAAGTAAAACTCCAAGAATGCATATTCTCCAAGACAAGACTGGAGAGAATGCTACGGATGGTGCCACCGGGGGAAGCCCAGCCCTGAGGCATCGTACAGTACCATGAATCAGACAGACAAGCTGACTTTGTTGATGGCTGATTTCTTGTCTGCCCAGAGAGAGCTGATTATCACCCAAACCAGGAGGGAGAGACAAGAACTAGAGGTGTAGAGATTTGTTATCCTATTTCCTTTTTCAGTAAGAAGTTATTGCCCCATGAAGTTACTCTGTACCTGAAAAAGAGGCCTATTCTGTTGTCTGAACACTTCAGCATTTACGCCCTTATCTATGTGGGTGCAGGTTTATCCTGCAAGCTGACCATTTTGCGTTAGTCTGGTTGCAAAAGATGAAATCTTATAACCAAAAGTTGTTGCATTGGGGTTTAACTTTACAGGATTTTGAAGTTCAGCACATTCCTGGGAAGCTGAATGTTGTCGCAGACAGCCTATCCAGGATGCATTGTGCAATTTCAGATGTAGCAGATGGTTCAAGTTTTTTTCTGATTTACTGGTTCCTGACATAAACCGAGATATTTTTGTTTCAATAGTTCCTGAGCATAACCAGAGTGTGATTTTGTTTAACTGCTAACACGACTGTTTTCTATTTTCCAGACTCCTAGAAATGCTTAACCCCAGAGTTCTATATTCAATTGCTGCTGATAGAACTTTTTCTACCTGAATGCTTTGCTAGTTATAATGCATAATTAAAAATTTGCCATTTATTTCATTGTATAACTTTAACATAGAGCTAGTGAAATTACTAGGCCAAAATATGTAACCTGGCTTTGGTTTAGCCAAAAATGCAGGCTCATACGTAACCCTGTATTTTTGAAATTTAAGGGGCAGCGTGTGATGGAGTTGAAGCAGTGTGGGATATGTAGTCAGAGAAATGTAAGATGGAGTCAGACAGGTTCGGTGTGAAGATGATTTGAGAGACATTGGAATGTGTTTTCTAAGTGCTATGAGAGTGTTTTTCTGAAGACGAGTACAGCGTGGTTCAAGATCAAGCTGAAGGTCGGACCAAGGAGCCTATGAAAGACTCAACATTCCGAGCTAATTGGAGATAAAACACCTGGATCTTCATGGAAATTGAGGGAGGAGTAAGGTATTACAGCTCCTTGAGGCTAATTGGCTAACAACCATGAACTGTTTAGAAGAAGGGAGGAGTTAGAGAATGTAGAAAATGGATGATGGGTTATGTGGGAGAAGTTGAGTTCGATTCCATGACGAGGGGAGAACAAAAGAACTTGATGGTTTGAGTATGTGGCTTGAAGGAGAAAGAATGTAAGTGAAGGGAAAGAAGGAGGTGGGGCTAGCCCAGCTTAGTAGGGGTTTTTTTTATTTTAAAGGGGATTAGTTATTTGGGTTTTTTTATTTTAAAGGGGATTAGTTATTTTATTTAACTGTAATGATCTTTGAATATGTTCTTTATGGTAACACTTGAGCAATATGAACTGATTCTTTGAAGCTCTATTTTTCTAATAAAAAATTATTACAAAAATTATTACAAAGGGACTGGTCTCTTGAACAACGGGGTCTGGCTAAATCCAGGGAGTGGAGAGGACCAAAAACTAGCTATCTTTAAGAGTCCTAGCTAACTGAGCTGTTGTGAGTTCTAAGGAATCACAAAGCCCATGTGTCTGTACTTGCAAAGTACTGGGCAAAAGTAAAGTGTTCTTTTAAGGTCAGACTTGTTCAAGGGGCTTACGCTATGCACTGCTGAGGTCTTGAGACTTGCCTCAGCGCAAAGGTGGTAGGTAAGTGGCCTGTTGAACTCTCTGACCTAAGCGCTCCTTATGGAGGTTTGGGCACCACAATTCTATGATTGTATTATTTCATTTTTAGTTTGCTACATTCCATTGTGCCACACATTACTGGGGTGGGTGGGTGGCTGGCTGGTTGGATAGATGGATGAATGGAATAACAAATGAAAGTTGCCAGAAAGATAAAAGCAAAGCAAAAAGCGTGCTGCTTATATACCGCCCCATAGCGCTTCAAGCACTCTCTAGGCGGTTTACAAGTTAATTATGCAGGCTGCACATTGTCCCCCCCAGCGAGCTGGGTACTCATTTTACTGACCTTGGAAGGATAGAAGACTGAGCCAACCTTGAGCCAGATACCTGGGATTGAACCCCGGGTCATGAGCACAGTTTTGGCTGCAGTAGAGCAGTTTAATTCTGTCAACTAAATATTGTAGAATGCTTCCATATGCACTCATAAGAAAACAAGATTCAGTTGAAAAGACAGCAAATTTAGGAAAAATAACAGGCAGCTGGTAGAGGACGATGAATTGACTCAATACAGGAAGTCATGGCCTTTAATTTTAAAGACCTGAGCAGGGTTGTTAGTGATAGAAACTTTTATCATCATCATCATCTTAGAACTGCAGAGCTGGAAGAGACCCTATGGATCATCTAGTCCAGCGCCTGTCAAGGGCATGCAGTGAGGAATTGAATTCCCAACTTCTGGCTCCGCAGCCAGACCTAAACC